TCTCGGTGAAGGCCTTCGGTTGGCTAAGGGCATCTGCCCTGAGCTTCCTAAGTCTGTCTATGTCTGCCTCTGCACGACTCAACAGAGATTTCTGAGTTTGTATGTAGGCGGACAGCGCCTCGAGCCTGTCCAAGAAGTAATAAGTTGGCCAAATACATCACAAAAATAACAGATAAAAAACAGTAGGCGTACGTCTCGGCGCGTCTCGAGTCCATGTTTGCGATATCATGGAATTAACTCTCTCTCTGAGAGTTGCACCAAACCGATTGTTGCAAAGTCCGAAATGATTCCTCTCTATAACAACCCAGCTAGTCCAGACTCAGTGCTAAAAATTATTTTCGCATAAATTGCGTAAATTGCAGCACTGATTAAATGCTGACCCCTTATGGTATCTATTTCTCACGCATGCAGATGTTCAATTGATCATCCAAAAGTTCAACCGTGACCGAAGGACTCTCGTCGTCGTCCGAGACGGCGAGCACGCCTCATTAGCCCACCGTTCGTCATGGCCTCCCAGGCCGCTTCATCGCACTCAATTTCTAACACCGCATCCTCCACATCTTTGTCACCCAGTCTCGCCAATCTCAACGCCCTATCTTCCCCCAAGCCTGATCATCAGCGGCGCATGACGGTTTCAGCACTACCGCCTCCAACATCATTGAACTTGGTATCGCTTATTGATTTTTGTTGCTGCTGAGTAGGCGACTGAATGTGTTGTTCAGCCCGAACCTGTCTATGGACATCCCGGGCACGCCCCAGGATCACCCCGGCGGCCACCATCGCCCCTTCGTAATGAATTCACTCACAGAAGATTCTCAAATGAAAGCCACTCCGGAGATGATGACGATGATGACGATGAAGAAGACCGAGATCTCACGTGGCCACGCAGCCGGTCCCCTACGTCCACCTCAGTCACTCAGTTTGCTGCGAACCTTGCAAACCGTGTCAATTCCTTCATCAGTCCTTCGATAACAGGCAGGCCTCTTCCGTCTGATGACGAATTAGAAGCTGAAGCTCAGAGAGAGCGCGACAGAAGTCGACGAGAAGCCGAGCGTATCCTCACACGGGAAGCAGAAGAAAGGCGAGCCATGGAGGAACGTGTCCTCTCTATGATGAATAGTTCTCCACAATCACTTCCCCCTCCTCGAAGTAGGTCACAGACGTTACCAAATCCTCCCTCTCCTGCGCACTCTCAGAAGGACAGTAGCCCCAGTTGGTGGACAGCCGCCAAAGCACGCTTGACTCCTACAAAAGATAAAGAACCACTCACTCCAGCTCAGCAAGTCATAGAAGAAACTAAGGCTCGTGAAAAGGAAATGAAGAGTGCTAAAGGAAAGGACAACGAATGGCCTGCCTGTTCTGCAAGCAAATATACCAACCCCGCTTACCTTAACTTGAAGATACCCTCGGGTGGCCCTCCCGCTCGCACGTCGTCTCCTACCTCCCCGACTCCAATTCGAACACCCGTCAACCTCTCTCCTGCCCGTGTCACACAAGTTCCAATAAACCTCTCGCCCGCCTCGATTCAGAGAGGGACTTCTCCTGGCGGTTCGCCTGCACGCGAACCACCTCCAATTTACGCCTCGTTCACACCCTCGGGCACTCTGGATGTACCAGGCACACTGCTATTAATTGCGAAGCGTTTTGAGAAACTTGAGAGGTGGAGCGTCACCCACGTGCGTGCACTCGAGGAACGCATGGGTGATGTCGAGCGCTGGCTGGTCGACAAGGAAAACCAATGCAGCAAGGAAGGGGGATCTTCCAACAACCACAAACCCTCTCCTAAATCTGAGTTGGCTGCTATTCAAGGAGACGTCACTGAGCTACAGTCACGAATGTCGGAGCTTGGCCGAGAGATGGCTCGCCTTGCGACATCACCTGCCACTCTCTCATCTAACAGTGCCATCCGTAGCTCGCCAGTCATGAGCACCACCCCTCCTCCGATGGAGTCGTCCATCGTCAGCCCTCATGAATCTACCTTTTCTAGCGCAGCAGACACCACAATCTCCGAATTCTCATCCCCCAATACCACATCAGCTCTAGAAAATATCTACAGTCTCTCCACTCCCCGCCGAGTACCATCCCTTACAGCCCGCGAGTCGACGAGTCCACCCCTCGCTCGTGTGTCCACCCGTCGTACACCGTCAGCGAGCAGGACACGCCTTCCATATCCAACAGGCGACTACACTAGCCCGGGAGAACTAATATCCCCACCTCACACTCCAGCCAGCTCGCCTCCGCTACCTGCACGTCCTGCATCGATGGTAATTTCCGGATTACCAGCTTTGTCTAGTCCGCTGGAACTCCCCGCCGCAATCACTCCACCTGTCCGCGCGCCATCTCCTAGTCTGAGTGGCCTGCCCGCTCCCAGCATGCACAGCCCCCATCGAGGCAGCGGGAGTCCTTCGCCTATGCAAGCAGGGCGTAAGCGATACACCGTCGCTCTCGGTGGACCCATCGTAGCGCCCCCTGAAGCTGAGCTTGACTACGGGAGCGAACGTTCGGGCCTCGGCATGGCGTCTTTCTCTACAGCAGAGAGCAGTGAAGACGACGACGACGATTACCAAAATGCCGCAGACGAGACGTTAGGGAAGAAATCTGCATTCCGTGCGATGACTGCTGCCAAACTCGGTAACGGTGATTTGGCGAGCGCTACGCCTGCGAATAACAGCCCGGGTAATCGTACGCGCGCGCAGTCCACATATAATGGGTACCCGAATCCATTGCAGAGCAACCAAGCGGTGTCTACGCAGTCAAAACACCGTTTCCGATCGCAGTCCATTGACTTCCGATCGGATAGCACTTTTGGTGGTGACCAAGCCAATAAATTTGTGGATCCACTTGTTCTGCGACGGGGGAAAACGGAGAGGGGCAAGGAGAAACCTCTAGTGGGGCCAGGAAAGAAGGTTCCTGTAGGACAGCTTGTGGCGTTCTTTGATTCGGAGCGTCGCTGAGTGTGTGCTGTATCTTCGCGACGATGTTTGACTTTCACGATCTCATCTCACGACCTTCTAAATCTACATGCTGACTTGATCTCAGACTTATTTCATAGCCATATACCACGCAGTCATGCCTGGTCTTCGTTCGTGTATCTTTGATTGTTGCTATCATTGTTTTTGAGCTAATGGCTTCCTGCTATGACAGAAAGATACACATGTGTACTTGCTTCGTTGGTACGATGCCTCATCCTCATGTTGTTACGCCTAATAGTAATAGCTGTCCGTTGCAACCGATCTGCAACTGTAGCAATTGGGGACCGGTTGTGGGTGTGGGTAATGGCATGGGCATCACAATGCTACGGTGTCCTCACGTTGTAATCGGCGAAGCAAGGTTCAACGGCACATGCACAAAGTAGTGATCCAAGAAATGTGGCGTATGATGACCGCTCGAGCTTCAACAGGATGTTCGGGATGAAAAGGTTGATGCCGACTGTTCATTAGGAACCAAGATGAGGTTCCGTGTTTTTTTACGAGGGGTGGTAAGACTCGGGGCGCCTCCCACATAGATAGTGGGCGTGCAAACTGAGGTTACAAGAAACACAACACCACACTGACCGGTACAACTTTGTGGAGAAGGGGATAATTCAGGAAGCCTTAGGTTTAATGCCCATCCAGTGAATAAGCGGATGGGAGTGGTGGGACTTTAACAGTCGGTATTGGCAGATGGGTATCATTGGCATCGCAGGGATGGCTGGTATATGATAAAGCTATTACAATTTCAAAAACTGGTTCGGCATTTGTCCGTAATTAAAATCCGCTTGGTTCCCGCTGCGCATCCAGCAATATCGTATTGAGTGACTATATCCAACAGCAGGGTGCCCGCCCATGTTCCTGGTATGAGTGGACAGAAGACTGACATGTTCATGTTTGTCCCCAGAGCCTGGCATCATCGTCTCTATGTGTCTGTCCCGAGACTTTCAACATAGTACTGTGACATTGGAATGATTTCGCAAGAGTTCGGCGGGGAACACTGCCTGGCGAGATTCAGAACCAGCCATGAGAACTTCCTGCGTGATGTGCACTCTGGGGGACAGCAGAATGACAGTGAATGACGGTGAATAATGCACAGCAGTCGCATATATCGATGGCAGGGGAGTAACAGGTGACCTGACCAAGCTGCTGCAACGCCGGAGACCGAGAAATGCGGTGATGCATTTGGTGCCGCAGTGATCGAATAATTGCTAGTGGTTGATGGAAAATTCAAACCGTGGTGGGTGACTGATCATGTTCTGGAATGTCACAAAGCCTGTCTTTCCCCATCAAGAAATGTCTATAGAGAATCCCCGTTTAATACACGCACCATCCTGCTGCTCAAGGTACCCGCGTGCCTTTTCCTGCCTATGTCAAGTAGATTTCTTCTGAGAGATGATACTTGGAGCGGAATGTCGGAGATAAGGCAACGAACAAATTTAACATGAGTGGATTTCACCTGGACTTGTGTGCATTGGAGTAATCCATGGAGTGAGAATCGGAACGGAACATGGGCCTGAAGTACTCCAAGTTCCGCGTTCTGGTCAAGCCTGCAAGACGTCGGATGAATTCCATTGTAGTCTGCCAAGCCAAGGGGATTATCATTCTTCATCCTTACCATCTGATGAACCCTGCAAGTGAAGAAAAAAAATTGAGTATGCGGCATATAGAGCACAGAAGGACACCAGGTGTGTGTTGCGATTGCCCTAAACTACTGGGTCAGTTTCAGCCTTGGCTAATAGCAGATATGCATACCTCGTGTTCGAGTCAATTTGCACAGCTACATTGTATTAGGATTTAATGTCATCAACACGAGGCTCATTAATGTGATGTTCATTGGCCACCTACTGAATTACTAGTACCCTGGTTTTAGGTTGTATGGCAGCTGGCAGTTTTGACAATGGGCGGTGGTTGGGCGGGTTTGAATTTGAAATTACTGGACTAAACCAGGCGTGGGAAGTAATACCCGATTGCGTCACAAAACTCGATGTATACATTGAACTCCTAAATCTGAATCCGCAGATAGGTGGGTTTCAAACTACATTAGCGGAAATATTAGCGTCAACTTGTACAACCACCGTGACGTAGTCATTCCCAGCCAATATTTCCATGTCGCAGAGAACGTACCAACCCTTGCACACAGACAATCCTTCAACACCTGGAGAAAAGGATGACAGGAAAGCCCAATCTCCTGCTGGCATAATTTACTTTCTTCTAACTCCTTATCCACTCAGGTCTCAATTCCAAGAAATCCCTTCTCGCAAATCTTGCGACACAGTAACACAGGAAGAGTTTATTGCATGTTTGGAGCGAATTAAGGACGCAATCAAAGATAATCTAGCAAACGAAGAACTTATAAATGACCCCGCCGAGGTTGTTCTCGACAGGCTTGCTGTCTCACTTGACTGGATGCTAATCACGGTAAGTCCAAGTCATTGAAACAAGTCTGGATACCCTGATCACATTTGACAAAATAAGGCTGTGATATTTATGATAATGAGCATGTCGTACTTGCGGTCACCCGCTTTCGCAGCGCTTGGGGATGCAAAAACACATGAACTTTATCAGAAACTGGTTGAAATCACAAACGATAAGGCAATGAACGATATTTTTCTCCGCCTATTGGCACAAACGCCTGAAACGCCTCTTTACACGTTCTCTCGCGGGCTCGTACAGACCAGCGTCCTATCAAGCTGTCTCTTCGCATTCCTCGCAATACTGGGTAAACTCTTCATTGGTCGCAACGGGCTCTACCTTGACATATCATCTCGTCGCAAGTCTCCGAAGCAATTTTTCTTTAGGCCGTCGCCATTCGTATCGAGCTGGCTCATGCTGTTTCTCAAACCATTACCAAACATCTTTATCTTAAACCAACTTCTTCTTGGCACAGCATTCGTCATTGCGCATTATCTCGCTTTATAGTGACCTTCCTCGTTCTTCGGAGGCGTCGTCAATTCCCCTTTCAGTGTATCAAACTGCAGCCGAGCAACCCTTCCCACCACCTCGTTTCCATGTAGCCTTTCGCATGCCTCTTCCTATTCCAAATATTCTGTAGGTCATTATGTTGTAGCTACTTATTAGGACACGAATTATTCACGCACACGACTGATGTCGTGTATGGGTTTGGCTAGTCCAATTCCATTCTGCACCATGTACTGCGTATCCGCTTCTCAGATTATTGGTGATAGCACGAAATACTTCAGTCGGCAGCCATACGCATTGTCCTATTAGTAGACGTATGACAATCAATAAAACATCAACAAGGGAATACAGAAATTCTGTTCATATAAATATACGGGTAATGGCATGTAATACATAAAATACCATTTAAAATACAGCAGTGTAGAAGATGTTCGTGTGGAGATGCATAAATAACAAAAGAGTAGGGTATAGAGATGCCCGGTAAAGAACTGAGAGGATCTAAACGACAGTGGACACTAACCAAAGTATCACTAGTATAACCAGTTTACATTGCAACATGCTCGCTATGGCTGTGACGCAGCAGCTTCTTGTTGGAGCTGTTGCTGTTGCACCTGCTGTACCGCCTGAGGGTCCCATGGTGGGGGATCCCGGGCATCCACGAGATTCTGATCAGCAAGTGCGTCCCGTAACCGATCTCTGCGGTTCATGCCCATGCGTGCACGACACCGAATAAGACGGAGCTTTGTTCGCGTGATCCCTAACAAGTTGTCAGTTTCAAGTTGGTATACATCACAAACAAACAAATGCCGCACAAGTTGCGATGGTAGCACGGTCCTCATCAATAAAAGGATTCTCAGTCTGAAGGTCATCTTGCAGTGTATACAAACACCATAGCGATGCCTCGTATAACTTCTCGCACTCATCTGGTGCTTGGTCGAGGAGTTCCCTACGAGCTGCGGTACGACTCTATAAATGGGCTATGAATACCGTCAGTCCGGAATATAAAGGTAAGTGCGTACGAGAAACAGGGCACGATCATAGACCAACTGATCGAGGTATATCTTAGGGCCATTATATTGCACCGGGAGCCACGTCTTCACCAGTGTAGCTCGGTCACTACATTTGATAAAGTGCTCCTTGAACCACAACAGAGCTTCGTCCACCACGTAAGCACTGTCTTGCATTCTGAAGACAGAGATAGAACATACCATCGTTAAACCCTTCACTCACTTCGAAGTCACCATCAGGGTGGCGCATCCGTAGGTGTTCTTGAAAGTTCCTCAGCTTGTCGATCCCTTTCTGCGAGAAAGACATGAGGAGTAAGTAGACGGCAACGCTTGTCACAGCATCGGATTCGGCTGCTCGATCTGCCTTTTGCCGCCGTTGCGCAAGTTTCTCGGGCTCGCCTTCGCGTCGTGAAAACTTCGCTGGATCAGGTAGTGGCTCTGCAAAAGAGTTAGTTTAGCACACAGAAGGACAGGGGATACATACTCTGAGGTGCAGCCTTGACACACTCATACAGCTCATCGGCCCACTGCGTGAGGAAATCTGTCTTCTGTGCAAGTTCTTCTAGATACGCAAGAAGCTCGTCTTCCATTGGGTTTATTTCTGTCTCTCTTTCAGAGGGAGTCCGAAGAATAAGTTGTGGACGTCGAGGTGACGAAGAGCTGTGGTAGTGGTTGGAGCCGGGAGAAGTAGGTGATTTGGGTGTCGATGTACCAAAGAGCTTGCGAGAGGCGAGAGAGAGGGCACGACTCAAAGCGTTTGTAGCGGCGCGCGTGGGTGATGATGACAGTGGAGGGGCAAGAGGGTGGGGAGGCGGTGGGAATGTCGGTATTGGTGCGGATAGCGGTGAACCCGATGGTGATGATGCTGTGTGATCTGCCGGGCGTGTTTCGCCGGCGGGAGATGATAAGGGAACACGCTGGTCCCGCACCGGTCGTCGTGCACTGTTTAATTCTGAGTAGATAGGTCAGCTTACAAAGCGATGACAGGGAACATGACTCACCATCAACAACACGAGTGGATTCAACTGTACGTGGGTCGATGAGGACGTACTCCTTCCGGATGAGACCATCTTCCTCTGACTCTCCTGGAATGATGGATCCTTCAATCACAAGTAGTTTCGGACCTGCCTTTTCCTCTTCAGGATGGGGTGGGTTCAAAGCAGTTTGTGTTCGATTGATGTTGGTAGTCTTCGTCCGCGTTCTCTCAGGTGATGGACTGAGTGTTTCATTTTCAGATCATCATGTCCAATATAATGTCAAGAACCCATACCTAATCGGAAGAGGGATAGCAGATACCTCCTCCACTGCAGTGTCTCTTCTCCGGAAATGGAACTTACTGGGTGGGATCATAGCCTTCGGATCAAGCACTTCTGGTGGAATGATTTTATGGTGTTCAGGAATCTGTCCAGGGGGCATTTCCTCGATTTCCTCGTCTTCTATTTGCGTCGTATTTTGCGACTGCATTTCGGGTGCAGGACGAGGAAACTTGGACTTTGCGAGCGCTCTGCTCTTAAAGAATTCCTCAAAACTGGAGCGCTCGGCAGGCTGTCGCTTGAGCAAGGTACGGATCAAGTCCTTGATGTCAACAGCAACAAGTATAGGCTCTTCTGTCTTCATTGTAGGTGGAGTGGAAGGATGTGAAGATATACGGGCAGGATCCTCGTCTGGGAATTTGACACCTTTGGAATGTTCGATTTTCTTCAAAAGTTCAACGTGATTTTGGGCCCGGAAGGGTGGTTTTCCAACACACATCTCGTACAACACCGCACCAACACTCCACAAGTCTGCTTTCGCATCGTATTTCTCGTACCGCAAGATTTCGGGAGCCATATAAAGACTGCAAATTATGGTGGTCAAGTGGAGCCATTACAGCAGTAGGAGAACGTACGGAGAACCACATAAGGTCTCTGCCATCATAGCGTTTGGGAGGGACCGTGCAAACCCAAAATCGGCGACCTTGAGTATTGGAACGCCCAAAGGGTGGCCCTTTGCAAGTTCCTCTGGTGATGCGGGATTCAAGAGCAAATTCTGTATACAATAAGATGTTAGACGCCTCGTTTCTATTCCAATGAACACACCTGAGGCTTGATATCCCTGTGGATAAGATTTCGCTGTCGAAGAAATTTCAAAGCGCGTGCTTCACAAAGATTAGATCAATGTAAAGTAAAGGAACTACCATCTCTCACCGAGCTGACGCAGGAAACTCCGTACGACAATCTCGTCTAGACCGCCCGTTCTCGGGTGAGGGTAATATTGAAGAGCAGCTCCTGGCGAGGGTGCGTACTCCAGACCCTCTACGCGACCGCGTTTCTTTATGTAATTGGTTAGGTCACCGCCGGCGCAGTACTCCATGATAAGGTATATGTTGCGTTCTGCGCGCTAAAGACAAGGTGATTAGAGAGCCGGTATAAGATGACAAGTGGGCGATTCATGATATGGGCTTGGATGAAAGATAGAAGACATAAGAATGATCAAAGGGGACTACAGGTAGCTCTGCTGCTTTCGGGACGCAGCATAGTACAGGATTGTTGTGTGCGAAGACAGAGAAGGGGCACTCACAACAATGTCAATCAACTTTGTGATATGTCGATGAGATAATGACTTCAAAATCTCAATCTCGCTTTGCAGGTTATCAAACAATTTTGCAGTAAGTATATCTCGTCGCACGGATTTGATGGCGACCTGGTGGTGAGTTTCCTGCAAGTGCCACATCGTTTCTAAAAGCTAGACAAACAAAGGAACTGGTACGCACCTCGTGGTATCCTTTATAGACAGTTGCAAAGCTTCCCTTTCCGATATCGCTGACTATTATATATGGACGTGATTCGTCGTCCTCGACTGTCCTTCTCGGCGTGGATTTATCTGAGGCCATGATAAGAGGTTAGTGGCTAATGGAAGTAAGGTATAGCGGTAGCCCGCGAGAGCAGAGGCGCTGAGCGCCGTCAGTGTGTTGTGAAAGAATCTAGTAGCAATCTGAGAGCAAAGGTAAACTGTAAGGGAGAGCACTTAGGGAGTGCCGCTTGACCTGCTTACTTCGTCCAAATCAGGAAACCTGAGAAGAAGTGCAATTCTGACTAAGCTTGCGCTGCTGGCAAAGTCACATCACGGAGCCTACTTGTGACGGCCAGGCACACTGCCTCAGCCTCAATGGCAGTCGGACTTGTTTTCTTCTTGTCGTTGGCGTTGTGTAGCCATTTTTCCTTACTCGATCTATGGCCTGGCGTTGGACGTATCATCGATGAATATTGCTGAGGTGTCTAATAATAGTCTGGGAGGGAAGGTTCTACTAACTTCTGACCAGCTGGTATGTTCAGTATGCATTTTTAGAGGTGACCAAACCTGACTGATATAGGTTAAGTATGTGTATCCAAGTCCTCAGTTCAATGATTTCCTATCTGTCAGCACTCGAGCAAGACCGAACTGTTACTCATTGCACAAGCTTGCGCGGCCTCAGTCTCAGCATAGGGCGACCAAGCCGCAGCGAATACCCACTTAGGCCGATAGAACAACTAAGACACTTATCAGCCCATGCCTTGTTTTAAGGGCGCCATCGTGCAATCACGCCGACAATAGTGTCATTCACATGCAGTTGCACTGGCGGGAATTCAAGTATGACTTTTGCATCAGAGTGAGTCCTTTGGAGTCACTAGTAGACCTCATGTTGGACATCTTATTCGTATAACTTGTCGGATTTCTATGCAAGACAGCTTTTTGTGACACATGCTACCGAATATTCAGGAGAAGGAAATCCGTCTTCCTGTTATTTGTCTACTCAGGGAAGACCAGCATTCACGCATCGATGACGATAAGCCGGATCGACTCGACCTGTACTGGAAATAACACTGCGACAAGTCGCAAAACATCATTCAAAGTATTTCAACAGTTGCTCAACGGTAACCTTTAGCGTCCGAATCTAATCAACTTCTTGTTAAGCTGAGCTGCCCCCATGAACTCGAGACAATATTGACTTTCGGTTGGTCTTGCTTTTCCTTCATTCAGATACTTGAAGTCAGTCTTCCTCCCTAATACTGACATACGGTACACTAGCATTCGGCTAAACGAATACTTGCAAGAGTTCCTGGTGAAATTCTGGAGTCTCCCCTCTGAAGAGAACTCTGACTGCCAAACGGGACTTAAGCGCAGCCTCCATTAAATTAATAATAAGCTATCATACAATTAAAATTAGGGCGTGAAACTCTTTTTCAACACGAACAAGATGATCGAACACCACAAAGCGAGTACCGTAATGACACAAGTTGCTAGGAGCGGTTGCCGCCCAAGGAGCCAACACAGTGTACAGAGGGCTTGAGAAAGACCAAACAAAACGGGTAACGCATTTGACCATGACAAGACGCGGGCCCGTACATGTGGAGGCCAGTCGTGTATTGGTCGCCGTCTCATGTGCGCGTCGATGTCCTCGCTCGTACTCGTGGCGAAGTGGCCTAGAACCCACTTCCCAAATATAGTGATAGCCACAATGAAAGGGGGGACGAAGAGACACGCGTCCATCACTCCTTGTAGAACCAAAAGCGTGAACGAAGGCGCTGCGAAGACCGACAGGATTGTTCCACTTGTGAACGTGCCGTTGCTGATGGTGCGGAAGACGTCATTGACTCCAGCTACCACGTTTGTATGTCTGTGGTATAGGAGGAAGTCGGGCTGCATGGTTGCAAATTTATTTATGAATGCAGTAGCACCCGCCTGCCAGTGAATATCGAGTTTAGTTGCGGCATCCTGGAAGGAAAGTTCGAAAGACTAACGCAGAGTAAGAGCGTGTTCATTAACCCATCGAGATTTTTCATTCTACGCTCCTCATCAGCGCATGATTTAGCCTCCCGTAATTGTTCCTTCAGCATGTCAGCACTGTCATGCAACTCAGAGGCGTATTCCTGGGAATCGTGGGTTCTAGGAGGCATTTAACATAGATCAACAACATGCCTCGTCATTCGACTGAAACTTACACGTCTGACGCTCCAAGCTGACTATCGAACTGAGTCGGATAGGCGTTCATTGGTTTACAGACAGTCGGTGCCCATGTGAGGGGGGCTTGTCAGATGTGAAACCTCTGACGAAACTTTTGTGACATTATTACGTAACTGTCACAAGAAGATTTGCCTGTTAATGATTCAAAAAGGCAATGATATTTCCCAGTGCCACTTCGAAAGGGCAACATGAACATAGAGTGATCATTGATCATCGGGCACTTGCAATACGTATCAGGTCAGTAAACATTAGCTGCATCAGCATGTACTAAGTGCACTTATTTCGGGCCTATCTAGCATTTTTGCGTACTTGATATCGATACTTATTGCAAGAGTTTATTCTTGGTGACGCTAGCAATCTGTTTTCCAGTGACACATTAGGCCCCTGGAGGTCAGAACTGTTATAATGATGGTCTGGAAGTTTCGAATCCACCTTCAGCACTTAATTTACATGGCTTTGGATCCCATCACTAGCACTGATAACGTGGAAAAGATGTCGTTGACCCCAGCTACAAGGGTTGTGTGTATTGGGTCAGTAGCTTGGGATCATGGGTATAAGCAGCGAGCGCCGAGGTAGCAGGTTTATCTTATTAGTATGCGGTAGCATCGGCCTTACACAAAGTCAGTTGCATTCTGGAAGGAAGATTCACCCAGAAAGACTTGGTTTAACAGCTTATTGTCTGTGAAAACTGTGTGAAAAGGGCTTTCATTCGAAACTCTTCTGCCATCAGTACTAGTAGCTGTTGCTTCAGCGTTGAACGCCATGCAATTCGAGAACATCGTGTTCCAGGGAACGAGGCCTAGTAGATATTAAATGATAGACACAGCCTAACGTACCATCCGACCAAGAACCGGTGCTGACAGTCGAATTGGGTTGGATAGTTAATGTCATTGCTGAAGGTAAGGTGAAGCACCTCTCGGAAGTGACGAGCTCTTATTTTACATTACGTAATTTGTGAACAATTGTTCTAAAGCCTCCGAAATACGGGAACAAACATGCTACTACTCTGATCTGATTAAGGTTACGATTTCCTGCCATGACCAACCAGGTGAGTTTGTAGTTAACATCGCCCAGCCACCTGTGAAAGTGTTAATGTTGACCCAACCACGACGTATGACAGGTGCTCCTTGATCCGTCGAATTCAATTTATTCCAGCGATGAAGATTATCGTCCCGATGAGTCACTGTTCGCCATTTACCACTCTACACAATCCACGGCCGCTCCACGAAATTTTATAGGCGCCCTGCCCATCGAGCTTTTACTGGCAATATTCATGCATCTTTATCGGTCGTCTCGTCGTCTCACTCAAACTGGTGAGACATGGAGACTGAACGATCCTCTGTCATCATTGTTCCCCTACGCTCCGGCTGCAGTGTGTTCGATGTGGTGTTCGGTGTTATCGCGTGTTCCAGAGTTTTGGACTCGTGTGGTCATCAGAGTTGACTCTCAATATACACAAAGTCAAGATATTCGACGTTATTTCGAGTGGTCAAGAAATCTTCATCTAGATGTTATCATCACCAGAAATCGCGATGAATTTGAAGGAGTTGATATGAAGGAGAAGTCAAAAGTCTTCAAGGCGACTCGTGAACTCGTTAGGCATATTGAGCGATGTAGAAGCATCCGCTTCAACGTGATGTACAGCTCATCATTGCCGTCCATACTCCACGACTTTCATCGGGAAACGGCTCCTCACCTGCACACATTGAAACTCAAATGTAAAGTTGACGATGGTGGATCCCCGCCTCGGAAGCTTGTGCACTGGAGTTTTGATGCACCCGGCCTTCGCCACCTATATCTAGATGCCCGAAATTTTTTCGACGTCTGTGTAGACCGTAACAACTGGCTCAGGCGCCTACACAAGTTAAACTCACTTTCAGTTTCCCGCCATCGCCAGTTTTCAGCCAAGGGCATTGATTTATACAAGCTGTTGAAGGCCGTAGAGGAATCCCCTTCCCTCGCACACTTGGAGCTCAAGGACTTGCACTTCTCTCGCCTGCGTCCTTGGACCACAGTGAATGATATTAGTATAGACATACTATCTATGAATTTGGAGGACCTATCAGGCGAGGTGCTCTCAGAAATTATCGGTTATGTTGACAGTGCCCCAGATACAACTCGCATTTCTCGTTGCTCTATTACTACTTGCCACCACTCCCTAATCTCTAGTGGCGTCGCCTTCCGTGGTCTCTCGGCCAACCAGGATTTGATGGCTCCTCTGGCCCATTGGCGCGGGCACACGCTCTCGCTCATTGATTGTGCATGCTTCCATGATGATTTCCTGCGGGACATGATGGACGGAGGACCACACGACCAATCCTTCGCATGCAAGGGGGTGAAAGAGTTATACCTTGTCAATTGCACGAAATTTTCTCCAAGATTGCTCAAGACTATGGTGCGAAAGCGGAGGAAGCTAGCACGCAGATCCATTTTCTGGATAAACGATCAAGAAACTCTTGATTGGACATTTCCAATTGTGGCGCCCATCACATTGATATCAGTTGAAGGTGGACCAACCTTATTCAAAAAGGATAGGGAGTGGTTCGAGACGAACCTTGGGTCATTTCACTGGGATGAGCAAGTGCTGGACCGTTCATTCGAGGATTCTGGCGATAGCGACCATGACCGTATTGAATTAATCCATTAAGTATATAGCGCTTGAGTACAGGTGATAAACTATGCTTGCAACGACACAATTTTATGTAAACTAGCAGGAGAAATGGGAGCTAACAGCATATGGATAGATTCTGGGTCGTTATTGTATGCGCCCGCTGGGTTGCCCAAAGTGAGAGCTTGTTGACACCTCGCGTCCGAGTAGGCAGCACGCTTGACATTGGCTATGTGTCTGGGAAGGAGAAATACAGCCTGCCCTACAAGCCCCAACTCAAAAGGGAACGCAAGTAGAAACAACCGAAACTCCTGCCTCCAACCAGAAACCAAAGCGAAAACCACAAAAACACACCTAACAACACCATTTTTAGATCTAACAATAGGCTCGATCTCACGGCCCTCTCATTTTTCGTTTGGCGTATATTCAAGGAGTGCGACCGAGCTGACTGTGAGAAGCCACATTGAGGTGGGTTCCTGGGCAGCGGCTGTTGGTGCGGATGTTTTGAGATGGAGGATGAAAGGGTGATGTCCACTGAAGAGTAGATGATGAACGAGACATATGAACAAGGTGATAAGCGGGAACTACTGAATATGAGTTATCAATTGGTTACTGTTTTCACGCTTGCTTGTTTCTCACCGTATATTTATTTCCAATCTCCCTTAAGCGAAGAACGAGGCCAGCTTCAAGTTCCTGCAATACAGAAGTAGGGTTTAGTCCCAGTCTAATGTTGAATATGACTTGCGGAGGCACATCCGAGTCAGCCAAGAACTACGTCCGCCCCTTGGATGTCGAGCTCGTCGAGTAGTATTTGTCATCCATCCGCTCGTCATCGACCTTAAGTGTTCTCTCTGATAGCTAGGGCCACATGTCAAATAGCCAAAGTGGTCAACGCAGCATTCATGAATCGTGAAGCGCACACCGTTTGCCACTGTCGACGACGCAGATGATTTAGACATGGTCAATGGCGAAGATGATAACCAAGTAATGGACAAGGTGAGCATGCAAGTACTTTCGACGATACTCAGTGCCCTGGGTATCCAGTATGCCTTTTTGGAAGCACACGATCTACTAAAACAGACAAGCAGGTGGAAAATAGTAAAGTATAAATGTTCATTTGTGCACTTAACTTCTGCTCACGTTCAATCAAATCCAGATCTTCTTAATGTACCGGACCGTGTAATCGCAGCGTCACCATGCGGTCGCTCCTTCGACGCATCTCTCTACGCCGGAATGGCATCCATTTCGCGCCATGAGCTATGGTGGCCCACTCAGACACAAAGTTAAGTTTGTGTTCTGTGATTCCTCGGTACGTCTTTTTAGCTATCCGGGAGTATAGCGTATGTTCCTGCCCTTCTATGACAGACAGACCTTCCCATAGATAAGGATGAGGCCGCCACTGCTACCACTTCACCGACGAGAAGCTGGCCAGCAGAGTCGAGAGCGCAGTAAACGATGTTTTGTTTTGTCTTTCATATGACATCTGTATAGAATATTAATATCTTCAGCTTTGACCTGGCCTGGGACTGACTTTAGAGTCATAAACTCTGGATCATTCCCTTTCATTGTCGCATCACTCCTTCACCTCTATCAAGGTGGAGCAGCCCTGCCTCGCCTGCGGTAAAACCTTCCCCATACAGAGATCGCTCTTTGGGAATCGTTCCCGTTTTACATCATGTCACCAATTGGCGCAAGTCTGAAGATGGGAGAAAACCAAAACGGACTCAGATTGAACGGGAGGGGGTAATGCAGGAAGCGAGGGAGATGATGAAGCGCGGGCAACAGATCATGGTGAGATAGTTGCAGATAATGATGCAATCACCATAAATCAGGTATATTTTATTTGAATCTTGGAACCGAAACTCACCATACATTTACCACATCGTCATGAGACACAGTCGGTCATGATCACGTTGAATTCTGAGAAAAACAGAAGTTGTTAGCGCTAAAAACGCACCTGATTACACCCGAATCCAGTCAATATCCAAGCATCATTCGCTGTCCAACTGAAAGTGGCTGCCATTTTTTCATCAATACTCCCACCATCTTATCAATTGCCGCTGCCGAGTAGCACGACATGTACAGCCCTGCTGTTCCCAATCTCTGCACTTTATGGTTCAGTTTTGTCTCTGCATGGACACTCAAAATACCCAAGAGCTTGGCGCGGTTCGGAAACGGCTGCGCACGGTCCCATGACTGAGTGGGCTTGGAGTTCAACTTATGCTACAGGCTGACCGAACCTGGGAGATGAGGCTTTCTGTCCCTTACTAGTAGTCCCCCTCAGCCTGTCAACCATTTACTCCCACTAGGTTGTATAAAGGATGTTCCTAAACCGAACGAGAAGAACGGCGGTAGGGTTGTCACCCACCCTTCTAGCGTTTCTCTATCCCTAGTCAACATACCCTTATCCAGGAGGGGTATCTGCGGCAGGTACCAAGGCCCAAGGACATCGTCTGCCTCTCAACGCTCAGCTGGACGTTCTGGTATCGGCTTCACTTCATAGCTAGTCACCAAGGTGTTAGGGCTCTTACGTCGGGTCCTTTTGACCTTCCTGGTACCCTCGATCGGTAAGCCTTCCTTTCCATTTGCTTCCTTTCCGCAGTTTTAGTTCGATATTTGTGATAATTATTATGAGCACCTCTCCATTGTGTTACTATGATGGATTGTTCTCCGGCGGTCATAGGCCTACATAGCCTAGCTCGCCGGCATTCCACATAATTTCACTCTCTTATCTTGTCAGTGATATTGACAGAGTGACTAATGAATGTTGGCAGGCGGTCATTCGACCAACGGACCCGTTTAGGTCGAAGGCATTGGCGACAGGGTCATAGATTACAATTATGCCATATGTATGTTTTACCTCATACTTGTGCGACACCTTACAATTGTAGCCAGACACGTGACGGAAGGAAGATCCATCAATATTTCAATATTCATTGAAATGGCATTCCAACGAGATTGTCATTTTATGTAAAGTTGAATAAGAGTGTGCTACAAACTATCGGTTACAGTCTATTCGTGATTCAGGTGGTTATTTCGTGAGTCACTTTTCGCAGGGATTTCGGGACATACGTTACCATTTGTACCAAATAATCACGTTTTCACGCCAAACAAAAGTGGCTCGCGGGATAGAGATCCATCGTGAATAGACCATAACCGATGAAAAAAAATGCGAAGTACCCGCGATAGGTGTATCTCGATTGCATTCGGAGATTGCATCTCGAAATGTGTAGTTATTATTGGCCTCCGTTTTCCGCTGTGCGGGATGTCGATAATCACTTGCTTATAGACCCAGCCGCGTCCTATTTTATGCTCCCCTCGAGCGTGGCAACAGCTCAAATCGTTGACACAGGCATGAGCTATCTTGTAGACATTCCTCACCGAATATCCTTTACTGGTTTAGCAATTCTGTATGATAAAACACATATCCAACGGGTTTTAGTAAGCCATGAGACGATGCTGTCTGAGGGCGCAAAACTGTCCAGGGGGGATGTAAAGACCAACACGTGTCAACCCCATAACGGCAGTTGCTATGTGACATTGTAAGTGGTTTTAGAAGATGACACTTTTGTTAAGATCCTCGTGCAGAAGTTCCCGCATTCCGGGGGGTAAAACGGGTTCTTTGCCGTTGACAATATACCCTGTTGAAATTCCACGATGGCCGCGGGTGAAAGATGCGGTTAGTCCTGACCTAACGTGATTCAAGAGTTTCACTGACGGAAAGGCATTTCAACACTTTCTTTAGCATTGAATGTGATGGTCGGAAAGTCCTAGATAGGCTATGAATATCCATTATGCTCATAAATATCCTGCAACCCACCACGTAAGGTATAGCATTCAGTTGCACTATAAATGGCTTGAAACGGTGACGCTGCGGAAAAGTGCAAGAGTCACCTTTGTCATCGATAACCCGCTTCGTTACAGCGAGCGCGGTATCTGTTGTCATCTGCATTGAACCCAGCTGACGCGAAGGAAAACCAAGTTGGCGGAGCTCAGATGTTCGATCACGAGGGGGATCATCACCTGGCGTGTGATGTCCAGGATAATCTGATGATAAGGAGCCTTGATGTGCTTACCTAGTATACCCTTGGGGACAGAAGTTAAGTTGATCAGCGAGCCCGAGGTTTCAGTGGATACAGATCTCACCCCAAACAAGAAATGATCAAAAATCTTGCCGTCTTCCGGAGCGAGCACTGTTTGAGCTTTCGGGTCAAGGAGACATACCCTTGTGATTGGAATGTTATTCTGCTCCAGCAGCTCCATTACTGATTGAGTATGGACGTGGTGTGATGCAGATGGTTGATTTATGGAGGCAAGCCGGGCATCGAGCGACGAACTGGAGTTGTGTGATAGATGTGTGAACTCAACTCGACCGTTAATGCCAGCCAACATGATCATATGCTAAAACAACCTTCAGTCCTTGAGCGAATTGCGCTGATGAGTCCATTACGTGCCGCATATTCCAGCTCAACCCAGGGTGGGAGAGATTTTGGCGTAGTTTCATCCTCCTCCATGTGTTCTGCGTAAAAATATGAAGTTACTTTTCCTGCACCAGGTTACAAGTGTCCCACCGATCACGTATGTGAATGTCATGATGACGGTGCGATTTGCGATCCTGTTGATGTACTTGTCAGTTCCGATTCAACCTTTTTCGAATCAAGGTCAGCTGCAGGATCGAATCGATGCAATTACCTGCCATATGGCTTGCTATGAAAAGTCCGAATGTCACGTGCAACTTAACCGCTGTATTTGGCGTCATCGATCTCCAATTTTCCAGATCAGGATATTTCGGTTTGCTTCTTTTCCGTGTGCCTCGCAGCTCCTGTTAACCTGGTACCGTAAATCAAACATTCAACTTTGATTCAAGTTCAGACTTTCATTCCAACGGACTAGTCGATATCATTTTCGGGATAGTTTGGTAACATTGTGTTACCGTCGATACTTTTCATGCGATTTCAACGGCCTAAATCAAGCCTTCACACTGACAGCGACTAATGACACGATTCAATCGGACATACTCAAGAAAGAGTAGATTGATCTTCCCTGACATGATGTGGCGCGCGTTTTTCGTGTTACGATGCGAGTAGAAAGGTCCGGATTGTCTCAACTGCGATACTCAGTTTCTCACTCCCAGGCGGACATATATAATAAACCACTAGCACCTCCGAATAATCATCGTCTCCAGATACAATGTCTCCACCTAAGTTCAGGATCGCTATCTGGTGAGGCGTCTTCAGCTTGTGGCCATAGTCGTACTCATTCCAATACTGCCCTAGTGGAGGAGGGGTTGGTGGTTTGACATTAGCCGTTGCCTTGTCACAGTACCCGGATATTGTCGTCGACGTGTACGAAGCCGCTCAGAGCTTTTACGAAGTTGGGGCTGGTTTGGGTATCTGGCCCAGGTCATTCAAGGTACAGATTTCGGACAATAAAAGATACTGGGGTCAGACCATCAACTAGGTGTTACGAAAACTTGGGCATGGCTTAGAACGACAACTCATTCAGCGCTGCGGTTACGAATTCACAGAAGACTATGGTCAGTGACAATTTGTATACGGCAGATGTTCAAACTCACTGAGAGAAATTTAGTCCCATGTATCAAGCACCGCAAAAGTGATCAAACCGTTGGCTTTCAGCTTTTTGACCTGGTGACAAAAGGTCAACTTTCCTGTACATTCAAATGCATCTCATTGACCACAATCGGTAGCACAGGCAATCAAATGCGTTTTCATCGAGCTGACTTTCATGCCGTACTTCTCTCACATCTCTCGCCGTCTTGTACAACGCACAACGCCAAGCGACTAAAATCATATATCCAGCCCCGTTCAAGAAAATCACCAATCAAGTTAATATTTCAGGATGGATCGACCGCGACATGCGATGTATTAATTGGCGCTGACGGGATCAAATCTGCAGTCAGATCCTGCATGATGCGTGAATTGGCTGAGGTCGTGGGCCCTCATGACAAGCAGTCTGTACTCTCGTGCATGAACCCAATCTGGAGTGGCGTCACTGCATACCGAACATTGATTCCTGCAGAGAAGCTGCGCGCGCGTTGTCCTAACCACCGCGTCTTTGCGGGAGGGATTACTCAGGTAAATCATCTGTTAGTTACATTGCATAGCATTGACTTAGCGGTGCCTTCATTTCTAGTACTTGGGAAAGGATGCTGTGAGACATTTTTATTTTTATCTATCATATACATTGTATTGAGGCTGACGCATCTCAGTTCTTCCTTGCATACCCAATTTCTCTTGGGAAATACATCAATATCGCAGGTTTCACGCTTCAACCTGATCTCGTTAACACGGCCTATGAAGCCGATCCACGAATGCCTCGTCGGTCTTTCCAAGGGAGGGCTGACAGCGACTGGGTCGGAGAACTCACGGCTGAACAGTTTGTTGAACCTTTCAAAGACTTCGAAGAAGACGCGAAGCAGCTTCTCAAGGTCTGTCGTTCCTATCTGTTTCACTGGTCACTCACTGACAATTTCCGCAGTGTGTAGAAAGAGGCACGCTTTGGGCTGTACACACCGTGAAAACATTACCATCCACAAGCTTCGGGCGAGTTGCACTCTTGGGAGATGCTGCCCATGCAATGCTGCCGTTCCAGGGCGCTGGTGCTGGTCAGAGTATCGAGGTCAGTGGCGCACATTCGTGCTTCCATTTCACACCGTGCTGATTTGATTTGATAGGATGCTTACCTCCTTGCAACTGTTCTTGGACACAAAGCCACGACCTTAGATACGGTACCCAGGGCCCTTGCCATATACGACAAGTTGAGACGGCCATTCTCATCAGATGTGGCCCTACGTTCAAGGCTCAATGGCCAACTATGCGCGTTTCAAACGAACGTCCCTCTGCACAGGCTCGGCAATACAGTCACCAAGAATTGGGATTGGGCATGGCTGACGGAGCTAGATGATGCTTTGGAAGAAGCTGTCAAGCTTGTGGAGAACAGTTCAATCAACATCAACTGATAACGAAGTTATACACATCCGCATTATCTATGTCGACATTTCAAGTCGTGTATTTCTATATAACTGCGTCGGATAATAATATGTATCAGGCAATTAAATGTGTATAGTACGGATCAACGACGAACAGTTTGAAATAACAATAAAATCCGTAGATTGGTATATATGCATGAAGGACCGTCGACCCAGACTGATTTATCTCCTTTTGCTCAAAATACGAGTGACACTGGCTTTGACGACGCCCGCTGCCTTCTCCACCTCTTTCCTCGACAGTGCCGCAGTGGCAGCGATACGTATAGTGGGCCTGGACTCGACCATCTCTTGTCCACGCAAGTGCTTCGCCCGCGTTAGCAGCACACCGTTCGCTATCGAATCATCGACAATGTCCTGCAGGATGCGTTCTTCAGCCTCGTAGTCATAGGTGGGCTGGGTGACAGCAAGCGATTGTTGTTGGGTTCGCAGACAGAAATGTATGATAGGGCTGGCACGATGACCGAGTAGCGTGATACCTTCGGTTTTCTCCAACACTGCGCGGATGGCGCGGATATTGTCTTGCAAATTGAGAAGTACCGAGGGGTTGTTCCGGAGGAAAGTAATTGCCTCCGATCCAGAGGTTGCCAGGAGAGCAGGCATGGAAGCCGAGAACACAAAGGACGTGCCGTTGATCCGCTGCTTAATGCATGACTACAGGATCATGAATGCGAGCAATTTGTACTTACTTGGTGATCCACTACAATAGAAGAACCAGCACAAAAGCCACCTGCGGAACAAAGACCGTTAGCCACAGAGCCTACGAGCATGTCAATCTGCGACGCCTGCAAATTTTCACGTGAGCTATATCCTCACTGGAATGAGGAGCCAACCCACTGGAACGTTGTATAGTTCTGTCAGACCACGACCGGTTCGGCCCATGGTTCCGAAAGAGATGCTTTCATCTAGGATGAGGCGGTACTTGTACTTCAGCTTAAGTTCAACCTGCAAACCAAAATTGAGTGAACACGACACTAAATAGATTGGAATAAAGGAACCAACCAGTTTAGGAAGATCCACCATTTCGCCGTCGCGCTCAAAGATACCTTCGGTTATGATGAATCTACGCGTGAGAGGACCCTTGCGTTTTTTTCTCTCCTTCTCCACGCTGATGAGGGTATCCTCGAGACTCTTGAGATCATTATGATCGAACCAACGGACAGTTGAACGGGATATTAGGATGCCTTTTTGAATGGCGAAGTTCACGGAACGGTCGGCGACGATGATATCCCCACGCTTGCAAAAGGCGGGAATGACAGACGAAATAGTTGAAAAGCCTTGAGAGTAGAGGATAGAAGCCTCCGTGCCCAGGAACTCAGCAATCTCACGTTCAAGGTCGAGATGGACATCTAATAGATATTGCACGTCAGCCTACCGCGGCACGTTGCTACCAGCCGCATTCACCGATGGTTCCGTAAAATCCAGGGGGTCCACAACTCCCAAGACCATATTTCTGAAGCGTTTCGAGGGCCCGCTCCTTGACCTTCTCATTACCCGCTAGTCCAGCAAAGTTGAAGCTAGCGAGGTTGGTTACAATTTTACCAGTTGCGAGGAGTTTTGGCTTGGGACCATTAGGGCCAGAAATGACAGGAACTGAGCTGAGATCTCTCTGTTCCCACTCGCTAAGAGGTTGTGCAAGAGGTTCGGGCACCCATTCATCCACTAATTCGTCTATTTCCTAGAAGGGCATCAGTTAGGGACGAAGAAGCGCAGTTTGATAAAACCCAACAACCTTTTCAGAAAACTTGATAAAATGCTTTCCTGACCTATCAGTGCGAGTCCTGGACTGTAGTAGAGTCCTTATAGCGAAAATGACGAGAATAAGCTCGAGAATTGTTCGTCCGGGATCGTTCTGGTGAGAAGATTTGACATATCGTGCAACGACTGCTGAGCCTGGAATTCTGTAGAAGCCAGACTCTAGTTTTGACAAGGAGAATGCCAAGAATGATAGCACAGGCTCAAGTGCTACAGAGGTCGAGCTATCCATCGTAAAGAAAGTTTGGGACGTTGCTGGAAACCGACACCGTCAAGAACCGCAAATGACTTATATAAGCACGGTCCGCAGACTTGTAAACGTAATCAGCCAATCAAACTCGTTCATCACTCGGATAAAATATTGCCAACAAGATGGTACACTCAGGGTCGCTGTACTCCAACCACCCTTGCACATGAGCTAATTACAATCTGAGGACAAGAAAGTCGAGTTGATGGTCAGAATCGGATTGAATTTTGAAAGTTTCGTAGCTTGACTTGGAGAGGACAGTCGTAGTCCGGAAGCTCCGTCGGCTATCGTGGTATGTTATCGGCGATTTTGCACCCGGCGTGCAGCAGGCAGTTTGCACCATCGAGTGACGCATATGTATAGAGTTAAGAGAGCATTATTGAAGCGATTTCTGGGATAGGGCTCATGATGATGTGGCCTATTCTCACCAGGGCCGGATACGAGGCACATTTGGCAATACTGATTATCCATGCATCATTGACATAGGAATTGTGATGCGCTGAACTGGGTAATCGAATCGTGCTTGATCTCGCATAAGCCATGTTACGGTGCTTGGACTTCCCGACATACAGGATAGGCGTGAACCACGTTGGTGGTTGCACTACCATAGTCAGTTTGAAATCTCGGTGCTCCCGATCATACTCGACTCACCCTAAGCTGTATTTTTTCTGAATGTCAATGGACAACGAATAGGGCATCCACCTGGTCTATGGGATGGCGCATTGCAAGTTGCCTGAATAAGCATGCTGTGGTAACTATTTGACAATACCTTGGGTTCCCTCTCGCTTGATTATACGTTTCGCAGTCATTCGACTGCAATTAGAATAAAGGATAGCATGAATCTTTGAGAATACATCTGTGCCACGATAGTCTTCTTGCCGTCGTCATTCTCCAGTACGCCGTCATCGTTATTTTTGCGCACAAAGACACCACGTCATGCAGAATTTTCACGGGCATCCGTACTAATGATGTGGAGCTTGCGATCATAGTAACCATCGTAGTGTGCGAGTAGGGTCGGACTAGACGTAGGCAGCGAGCATTGGGTCACTGGTAGAGGGTCTCATGCTTCTTGCACTGAGGATGAGTAGCACGGATGCGCTTAAAGCGCGATAGGAATATGAAGGCGTAGTAGGTACGATGGCATAGTCATGCTTTTCCGGATACTTTTCCTGGAAAGGCGAGTATTCAGTAAAACAAAACGTAGTCATAGAGACTACGCCTTGTGTAACAATTAATGCCACTGATCTATTTAGGTTCAACGTTCATATCCATTGGGTGCGTCAAAGACTCAAAGTTAATCTTTCGGACACTCACGAATATATGTCGCAATAATGTATTGACCTCTCCAGACGCTGCAAAGCACAGGTCTCGATTAATCCTCTGTCAAAGATTCACCCACACGACGCACTCTGCTACCCGATGAAAACCTCAAGAATTCCTGGAGGTGGTGCGCGAAAGATGCAGGAACGTCCGCAACTTATTTGGAAGTCTGATTCTGGCCTCTAGGCGGATGTAAAATTTTGATGCCATATTTGCAGGCACGATTTATCGCGGAGAGAGACCTGTGGTGCTGCAGAACGAGATGGTCACGGTAATGCATTGAGTGTGCCACGTGACCTAAGTATGAACGGCAAATCGGCAAATCGAACCGTATCAATCGTCCACCAAGTAAGACGTAGCGAGCTACATGCCTAAATGTCTTGACCTCTCTAGACTACCCAAAGCTCCAGGTCTTCGTTCAATCAACGTGCGTCCTCTCTCTTTCATGTCACATTCTCTCATTATTCTTCCTTAAAGCGTTGCAATGTAACACCCGGCTCCCCTCTTCCATTACTTTTCCCTGGTACCGCGCCATACAACCGTGCCCGCATTGTTGACCCAACGCACCCTGCCACTCGGTGGAAAGCCCACGCGTTTCCGCATTTCTCCTGCCCTGCATTCATGCTGCGTGCTGTACCCAAGGGTGCGCTTCTGCGCCCAGAATTTGAGAGGCGCTTACCTCAGATTGAGCGCTCTGCCATGGTACCGCGGGGGGAACGGAAGGACGGTTCCAAGAAACTAGATATGAGCATAGTCTTCATGATTTCGAAAAAGAAGACGAACAAAAGGGCAGTGGTGCGCAACAGGATCGCGATGCGCATCAGGTCCGCTTTTGAGCTCATTGTTACTCGAGGTGCTGATGCTGAGCCGAAAGAGAATGTCGAAGACAGACATCTGGGCAAGAAGTGTGGGCCTGAAGAATCCTCGAGTGTCGTTAGGAAGCCCAAGAAAAAGGCTGATCGTTCGAGTCGCGAGTTAAAACTTGCCAGCTTGGCATCGTCGATCACCCCGTCTAATCTGGGGTTGATATCGAATCCTGCGCCCACCAGGCATCTAATCCTTCAAGGTACGTCATGAGAGCAATGTTCATTTGCCTCTCTTCTCACATGGACAAAGATTGGACATATGTTATGTCGCCTTCTCTCCTGAGTTACCGCATGCCACTCCCCGATCTCATACAACATCTCCGTGCAGGCCTCGAGAGTATTCGAGCGCAGTCAATGAAGCTCGATGTGCAGTGGGCATTGGACAAGAAACTAACAATCGACCCGCCGTTGGCCAATATCACAAGCCAAGAACCTGAGGTGGACTGGCGGCACATCACAACTGACGAAAACGATATTCCTGCGTTATTTAACATTGATGAGCCCGAGCATAGTCTCATCAAGGCGGGAAAACTCATCAATCCTCAGAAACAGCCCATCAAGCTGTTTTTCCCGACACCGCCATCGTCTGGAGAGTCGTCTTCTACCTTTGTTGAAGATGATCGGCTTGTCACTTCCCACAGATCTGTCGATACGCCCATGCGGTTGGCTTCACCGGAAATTCGGCCAGGTCATCAATCTTCTGGTTCCATTTCTGATTCTTCGAAACCTACCCTACATGCTCCGTCCACATTTAGAATAGGCGCAATGGAACGTCTTGCGACCGTAAAGAACCAGCCCCTGGTTGTACCTGGTCGCAAAGCAGACCGAAGACTCTCTTAGAGGGGAGCTAGTGCAGAAATTGCGGATATCGATGAGATAGATTACCCAGATTAATACGGCCGCATGTACACCACGTGGAACGCAGTCAACTTACCAAGAAATGCGCAATGGTGCCGAACAGACTTGGATGACCCTATCGCAACAAGTATCTTATTTATTTATTCCCCCTCCTCAGCTGGGATGTCCACGTCATTCCACACACTCCACACACACGTATCACCGTCCACACCCCACAAACCGTCCCCCGTTCGCAATTTTACGTCATCAGCAAATTATTCAACGCCTTCAGGAGCGCCACAAACACCGCCAAGACGGTGATGCCCTAAATCAATTGCTACTAACTGGTTCGCCAGCTTTGTGCCTGACGTACATAGTTCAGACGAGTTAGTCTGAAGTTTATGTCCGTTTCAGGCCAGTGACATGACTAATCTACAACTCAGGTCCCGCCTGCGTAACTGCGACCGGGTACGAGTAATGTAGTGCCAGTCTCAATCTCTATATCATACAGGGTTCCAGGTCTCCATACGATTGGGTCCAGCTTGCTCGACTCCACCATCCTGACATTCTCGCGTTTTCTTTGTCGCCTTCTCCGTCGTCTACCAGAGTATATGCTGTAGTGGTATTTTCACCGACACATTATTTCTTCCATGTGTTATTTTGTTTTCGGTGCGAGTTATCTTTTATAAATATCTTTCAAAGAACGTATTTTGGTTTGCCTGCGGATAATTATCCAGTCGCATAATGTCGTGATGTAGGTGAATTTAGCCTGATGACACTTGCTCATTGCTTTCTTATCAGGCATTTTGTGGCCGAATGTTTGACACATCCAGATTCCGAGTACTATATAAGGAGGTCACGATGCTTAGGCCTGGCTACTGACGCCTCTCTTCAGAGGAATCGCTGGCTATATAGTCGACTCTCGTCAGCTCTTTCCCTCAGCTCTTTCCATCAGCATACTCGAGTGGTTCATTCTTATTAGCCTTGTTGTTTTCCGAGAATCTATGGCATACCCGTCAGTCTCTCCGGTCCCAATGCATTACCATGTTCAGCTTTCTCCGATACATCACAGACAATTTACTTTGGTCACTTTGACACGTTAATGTTAACGGAGATGTAAACTCGGTTGTAAGGCGTAATCCTATATTTCAAAAGTGTGAATCGCCATCGCCTCTACGTCGGTGGCTTATCTCCAGAAAAGTATAAAGAATAGTCCATGCGTGAATAAGTATGATGTGAGAGGGTATGTGCTGAAAGAATTACATCCTAAGAACTAGCGCTGTGTTGAAATAGCGAAGCAGTATTGGAACAATCTTCGTTGTTGAGCCTAAGCTGTAATCTTCATGAAAGACGCGAAATACGCATCAAGGACCTCAACGCGATCCAGTGGCGCGATGGCTCCAACATAGCCATCAGGACGAACAGCAACAAGCGCACCCTCAGGTCCCACTCCAAAATACGAGTAACCCTCTCCCCCAAAGCTACCGGTGGGATCGGTGTCATCGACAAATACCCTAAGAGCGCCTCGATCAATATCATCACACTTAACACAGATGAGCAAGCACTCACTTTGACCAATGAGAGCGAAGAAGCGTAGGAAGCTGCAAGAAGTCAAACTTGTCCTTCCGGTCTTTGCAAATCGTGATGACGTCGAATCGCGAGTCCCCAGGGGTCGCGTAACGGTTCAGGAAGCTCTGAGGTTTCTGCATGTCCGCAACCATAGACTCGACCCTCGCTTGCTGAAGCGGATCGCTGAATTCACTGGTGAACACAAGTAACTTGAAGAGGGAGTCTGAAGGAAGCAGGTCCTGGAGCTCGAATGGCCGTCCGTCTGCTGCCCGCATGAATTTGTATGGAGGGACGCGTTTGCCGAGGATGAGACCACTAGCCAGCTCCTGGTATGTGTCATTTACTACAACTGAAGGGTGATAATGTATCCCGATTCCACTGGTGAAATCTGTTTGGAAAGTCCTACGACCTCGCGGGATTAGTAATAAGATGAGACTGTTGGTAGAATAATCTCACTTCAAGACATGTTCGGACGAAACTCCATCGCTGTTCTGTTCAGTCAAGGGCTTCTCGCACACAAGGGTGGACCACGTTTTATCAAACGCGATCAGTTCTAATGCGAATTTACGGCGCTCTGATTCGTACTATCGGCGGGACGTGAGCAAGGAGTTAAATAACCGCACAAGGGCGAGCTTGCCGTTGACAAAAGGGAAATGTCTGCCCACCCACGAACAACTTGGGCAATTTTCCAGGCTGACAAAGCGATTTAGCTCGATCGCGACGACAGCAACGGAAGACATACCTAGATTATGACTATCGTTTATACTCGCGTTCATTCCTTGCCCTGGAAGTTCCATTGTAACCAGACCGGGAGAAGGGGCTAAATTTAGGACGCTTACCTGCTTTCGGAGAGTGCGTGTGGCAAGCATCACCAGCGATAAATACTCTATTTGTGATAGAAAACTTCGAGGCCACTCGTTGTCCAACTTGAGTAAAAGTGTCAGACAAACACGAATTCATAGCTGGCAGTAGGATGCATACCGCTATATATCGTCCACCACAAAAATTCACTCTTCCGGATAAGCTTGTAAGGTTTGAGCGATTTCTGGGCAGTCTAAGGGGAACATCGATGAATGTTGACCGTAGTATGATAATGGATGCCACTTACTTTAAGAATTTCCTCTGGACCCATTCTATCCTTGTCCACCCTGCCTGTCACTGGATTGATGACATCTCTGTCTTCCAGTTGGACATATGCGCGAACGCGATCCTCTTCTCGAGGAAGGAGAAACATCGAGCCATAGTTAGATTGTGCAAGACACTTATTCCTGACGTCCGGGAAGTCAGTGTCGGGAACAAAGTCCACGACACCCCAGATGGCATCTATCGAGCGAGACTGAGCTTGCTGAGAATTTTGAGAGATCAACTTTCTCACCAGACTGTTCTCCATCCATCGTGATATCGAACTGTTTGCGGGTCCATGAGTGAGCGCCTATCAATGTGAATGATTATATTGGTAAGATCGACATTTTAGGAGCCTACCGTCACCACCAATAACAAATTTAGCGTGGACAATTTCTTGTTGTTCATCCTCGGATTGGTCTAGCCTTTGGAGCACAACGCAAACTGGATATGACGTAGGATCCGTCAATTCGTCTTCATTCTTAGAGAGCTCTATCGAAGTTGGCATGGTCGATCGTTCGACCTCAACGCCAAGCGATGACATGGAATCTAAGAAAATGTCTTGAATGGCTCCTTGATGGAGCGCAGCCTTGATCTCATTCAGTTGATATAATTCCCGTCCAATCTATGAACGCACCTCGAATGGGTATCTTGCAGACGGAGCTGTTATGTTTGATGTTCTTTTGGTAAGCTAATGGCGAAAATTCAGTGAACATCCTCGTCGATAGCGGAATTCACGAACCTCTATACCGCCGGTCGAAGAAGGGTTGTAGAATGCCTAAGATGCAATGAGTCACATATCCTGCAAGCTCGTCTTCAAAGGCGTACTGCTAGATGGATTTGCGAACACTCCTTTAGAAGGCGCTCTGCAAGTCCATAACTCTATGTTCATCTCGTTAATACTGAGTCTTAGTCGGTCAGTCAGGAAGCATTTTCACCTGCAGCAGTTCAATAGTGCGAGGTGAAATTCCATCGCCATAACCGGCAGTTATCTTGAAGGCCCTAACCGAAAGTTGAATTAAAAGCAGGCATGGAAGGGATTGACCCACTGACCTTTGGTCGACGATGCGGACATTCACTCTCGCATTTGCGAGGGCATTCGCGCACATGAGACCAGCAGGGCCAGCGCCAATAATGAGAACGTCGACTTCAGAGTGACGTGCGAACCGAACAGGCATTGAGAAAGAACTATGACTTGGTAATGGGAGTGTAGAGGAATGCGTCTTGGTACAGGGGATGCAGGTCTACAATCCTCAAGAGAGCTTTCTTAAAGGCGGCACAGGGGTAGAATAAATAGAAATCAGTCGCAGCCGCTGTCCCTAGAGCCATGTCAGTTCCCTGCAAGTAAGACCCAATAATCAAAACCAATATTTGCCGAGGTTGATTTAGATACAATATCTTGTACACCAGTGATATAGATAGCAACAATGCATTATTCGCAGACGGCCATCATGACGCGGTGGTGTGATCTGGGTATCTTTGAGTTTGGTATACGTAGAATCTTTGTAAGGTACTAACTTGAATCCTAAAAATATGGGACGGGGTGGACCAACCAACAAAGCTTGATTTGTGTGGAAGCCAAGGCTAACCATCCGCGACCAACGCAGGAGTCAAATGCGATTTTGCAGACTGCGCCAAAGTGGGAGAACATGCTTGACAGACCGCTTCTGCGCATCGATGGATTGTTGAGGTATCATGATTGCCTCCGGGTCACCATCCGAGAGGTAGGTCAGATGAGGTCAATGTACTAGCACGTATGGCACATGGATCCAGGACACTCTTAAAATAAATCTGTCCCTTTATGTATGAAGGCGACTGTAGCTTGCTGCTTGAGCATGACATTCAGCCACCTACATGCGCAGAGTTAGCACTGACCGATAGTGGCAACCGGCACTGGCAGCTTGTCAAAGTTTCTAGCACCCCAAAATTCGAGTCACGTGTTTGCAACTTCCCACCGGTGTACATAATGATACATGAGCATCATTATACTACTACTGTACAGCTACGCACTTAAGTTCGTCACACCATCACAGGGCGAGCGAACCGAACCTATTTCGTGTGACAGTCACACGCATTTTGAGGTCATCGAACTTAAGTTGTGACATGCGGTAAAAACACGAAAACATGCAGTAAAAACACGAAAAAAGTCCTAGTGCTGCCAAAAGTCCTTATATTGAGTATTTGCAATGTGTCTCTGCGCTCGTACAAAGAAAGAAATACGTCTGCCTAATGAGACTCCCAGCCCAGTCGGTCATCTCACCCAACGAACCTATGCGCAACATGTCACACGTCACACACCCCTTCGAACTTTCGAACCTAATGTTCATTCGGTCACACCCATATCAGGTCGAACTTAGGTGCGTAACTCTACAGTACTACTACATAGTAGCCTCCCAGGAACGTGACTCGGGAGTTTTCTTTGCGACGCAGGGAATGTGACGTTCTCTTGTGTATTATTGGCAGTCGAATAGGGTCGGTTCCTATTGCCGGTCCCCGGATCCTGGGCATGTCAGGCAGAATGGAGATTTGCATCGGTCACGCCGGTGTCGTGTCTTTCGTGCAACTCGAATGCACGTCAGAGCATGTGCCATCATTTCACAAAATGTGGCCTCGCAACATATCTAATATAATCTCTCCAACCAGATGGTGTGTCTTTCAGATTTCTGGGGTGAGTCTTTTCGTGAACAATTCCAGTGACGAAAATAGCACTGGAACTTGAACGGACACGGACTGCAAGGGAAATACAAGGCCAAACCTCTATACTACGGCTCTATCTATCCAGGACCGACTACTACAGCAATGCGCAGGACTACCGATAGTGCTGTGGGTAGAACTATTTGCCGGCAGAACATGACAGAACTAGGGTTGTGTCATGGCAAAACCAGGCGAAACTCAGAAGAGGTAAATTATTCGTCAACTACAAAATACCATTGGTTGACAATAATGATTCGACATCACAAACACTCCCCTCGCTTCTCGCACCATAATAATCACCGAGAGCTCGTCGTTAATAGACTTCGGCACCCATCAATGATGGGTGCCGGGGCCATCATACCTGCCTGGTTTCCGAACTTCCTTGAAGTACCTTCCAGCCTTTTGAGTTCGTTGATATCAAGATCAATAAATATTTCAAGTACATTCTGTTCATCGAGTGCATTGCGCGGAATCAGTCAGGTGTTTGGGAAGATTGTTGTCGCAGTTTTCGGTGTGAGCGCCAGAGGAGTTGAGTGGACAGTGTTCACGCTTGAAATGTGATTGGATGAATCGGGGACATGTCCTAATGTTCGTTTATTGGGTAGATTAATACAGTTAGGATTTGCATTGACAACTACGCAGTTTATCTCACACATATTCCGGTATCTTTCAAGTTCTGTCACGGCGAATGGCAGAACGGCAGTAAGTAACTACCGACTACGTGCCAGGATCCTTGGCGCTCCAACAGCGTTTAAAAATGTTCAGTCTGAGCAGTATTATGCTCGATCGATCTCATTAACCGTAACCGCAGGCGGATTTGGAGACTAGTTCACTCAGGCTATTGATATCTTGGAAGGTGGCGTGACGATAAACCCTCTCTCAGACAGGTGGGAGATTTTTCAAAGGATTCATACAGCGGCAAGCCACAGTATCTCTAATAGTGTCCTGATGTCCATCATATTTGGAGCTAATAAAAGCTATATCCTTAAACTGTGCAATGATATTATGAATTGCTGCGATCCTCTTGAGTTCTCCGTCGCGCGCTGCGATAGCAAAAATGGACCGAAAGGCTGTCCGAAGCGAACTATCAAACGCAATGTCCGCGAGTGAGAATTCTGATAAACCGGCTCGTTTCATGCAGCAGGTGGACTGCGCAACAGAGATGACGCAAACCTATAGTATTTCTACGGCACCGATGTTCCGGTGCCGACGGAAGTTGTCTTTGACTCGCGTGCTGATATTATGATCCGAAATCCTCTTGTGTTCTCCGACACACTGCTGCGCTAGCAAAAATGGACCGAAAGGCTGTCCAAGGCAAACCACCAACCGCAATGATACTCGGGAGTGCTAGTGAGCCTCCTCTTCTACAGGCGAACCGCCGGGCAACTTGTCAGAGTCGTCCATCAGGTGCCTGGGCTTAGTCCAATCTTATGGTCTGCAAAGTCAGGCACCTCGAGCAGATACCGATCACACAGTAGATGGACCAACGAGAAGAATGGACTTTGCTCGTGAAAACCAGTTTAGGGTATCTTCAGTGATAATTAACAGGTCGTGAAGTCCGTCTGCCATTCCGTACGTGATGGGGCTAGACCACGCCTCCGTCTGACTTCTGTAGCACAAAATGAAATGAAAGTCAGATGCAGACTGCAGACTGTGAAGCGAGGGACTCAGCTATTCAAGCTGGCCATAAAATTTCAATGCCAAATCTACGAGTACAGTTTATCGCGAGGAAGAGACCTATGTGCGGTTATGATCTTCAGGCAAGGATGAACAGATGCGTGATGTTCTCCTGCAGGAGCCGCCCGAGCGCGTTCTGCTTCAAGTTCTCGCTGTAGATTACACGCAGGGGGTGTATTGTCGAGTTCAATCCAAACTGCTCTTCAAATAACGTCTTCTACTTCGGATGGAATCTGACGCAGACCTGCAGAACGAGATACTTAGTAGGCGTTGGAATCCTGGATACAGTGTGTTGCAAATGACTTTAGAGGTGGCGAGCTCGGAGTTTGTGAATAATTTGTAATAGCCAAATGCGTAAATCTGGACAACAACAAACAACACTTGCTTACATAATACGTTATGCGCTCATTTATCATAGTACTTTGCACCTCGGTCTTCGACTCTCGAGACTGAGGTGAATTGGAGGTGAGACACTCTTTTATTCATTTTGCTTTTGATATAATACTGATTATTGATATCTAGTATTTGCATACATTCATTATAGACTTCATTCCTCGTCCGTCGTGTCCTCGAACAAAAGTTACTGGGCGGTCTGTGGGTGTCTGTACAGAGATTCACAGCGCAAGGTGTCACTGTGATGGACTGGCTAATTGGGACCAAGCTGTAGATCTTGCACGCTGTGCAGCACCGTACAGCGCGAAGTGGTTTACTAATGTGCGTGTCTTATCACATACTTTTAAGCCTCAATATGACAGTATAGCCCGTGGCTTGGGCCTGGCCTGTGAGGGCCTGTGGGCCGGGGCCTGAAGCCAGACCAGGCACATCACTATTCATCGCCGTGTTTTGGTGTTGTCATAGTAAGTATATCATAGCTTTCATGTATTTAACACTCGATGGTACTGATCTGAGCCAACACAGGATGGATCTGCACAGGAACTCCGAAGCCAAGACAGCGACCGCAACAGTTCAACTTCCCTTTCTCGAACAACAGGATGTCAACATCGAAACCCATGGGAAACACATAACAATATCTATGCATTTGAAGCGCTCAAAAAGGGCGGATATACGGTACAGCAACATTTGTATGGCAAATCTTCTAGGTTATGGCAATTACATCGTCCAGGCCAAGGCTTTCCATAGATGGAGAATGGAATGGTTACCGTGCGCTTCATCGCGTAAATATGTCATGCTATCTGCATGTTGCGACATGTGACTGTTTCGGATTTGTATCGTTGTCGCCCTGTCAAGGTGGAATTAGGATTCTACAGCAACGGTGTGTCTGTAAGACGGCTGTGCGTGTGCAAGCATCAGACAAAGATGCGACCAACGGCCACATAGTTTCGCACGAAACACCCCGAAAATGGCATTGGAAATCAGTTTTCCGACATCGCCAACGACTGGAACTTTTCTGGTATCCACGTGGTCGCATGCTAATACTGGGTTGTAAATCAAATTCTACATTGATTATCCAGGGCTTCTTTTTATTTGATTTCGAACTTTTTCACTCGATCTTGAGGCAGGATCAAATATAAATCTCCATTGTGCTGATTTGGACAATAGAAACGCCGAATGGTGGTATATCTAGCACGAACGCTAACGTCATACACTACCAACATTCCCCACTTGCTCACACCCCATCCCTCGAACATGACTTACGTCTCAAATGATCCCAGTTGGTGGCCGCAAATCAATCGGAATCTTCTTTTGAGCTATTTGGCAGGTTTGTCACATCAGGATGTCTGGATCCAACGTTGACTTGCGGTTTTGAAGATGCTGTTGGCATCGTGGTGGTATATGATTGGGGTGAGCAGGATAGTGTTCGAAAATCGCTGATGTTCTCATGATATTTCGACTAGTCTTAACACTTGAACAAGAGGTACGTCGATGTTATCGCCGGAGCAGCCATCTCACTAAGAATGGTGTCATAGATTGAACTCACCTGGGTAAGTAACAAGAGTCCCGTATCGGAGGAAAACAAGAGCATGCAATGAATTCGTGACAGAGACAACGCTGGTATCTCATGACTGTGCTGTATCTGATTGTTCGTACCTCACGTTGTTTAGCGTGATGGGCAAGTTGTGCTGACTCCAAAATGGTCTAGATACGCTATATTGGAATACCGTTTTCTGTGTATGTGTCGAGATCAACAACTCTGTACTGTGCTAATAGCTCATCTCTGACAATTAGTGTCCATCTTCTGCGTATGTCTCATATGCGCTGTGTTTCATTTTTCTGACCGGCGGGACACAGAAGTTATGCCATCGGTATCGCTGACAGATGCAGTAAGTATTCTGCAACCATTTCACTCATCCAATCAATACGCTCATGTGTAGGGGTGAGTGAGATTCCAACCATCGAACTTGGCGCAACATAATGACTCGACAGGTGTAAGTCGGAGTCTTTGATACTAGTGCGAGGGCGTTCACTAATTGGGAGTTTTAGGCACTATCACAGACTACGCACTAAATGGGACAAATGTGGCCTTGACTGCGATATTGTGCGGTAAGTTACCCAGGTGCAATGCCTCTGATATTTACCTGACTGACACACGATGCAAGTCATCATGATTGCTCGGTTGCATGCCATGTATCAGGGATCTAGAAAGATGCTCATGTTCTTTGCTTGCCCATTGACAGGATCGACTATCGGGGACTGTTTCAGAGTGCTGATACAATCTCACGTTCTTTATTTTGCAAGGTGAGCTTGTAATGTGAACACGGTTATATTTTTCTGCTCAAGTTCCGCACATGTTGGCTTTGCTGGTTGGTCTTGCCTCCAGCTTGCTTATCTCTCTCCATAAGTCGCGGTGCGCTGACCTGTTGCTGATATCTGCGTGTAACCACTGCTCATCATTTCTGTAGAATTCGATTTCCATTGGAACTCAGATACTCGGTGACACTCTTCAAATTTTATCGGCCGTGCAGATGTTTGTGCTGGGACCACGCCTCATTCTTAGCGTTCGAGAATATCACGCCAAAGTCGTGGTATACTCCAATGCGGAAACTAGCATGAATTCGATTGATTTCCAGGAGCGTCAACTAGCAGTACTGTGTAGGGAAATGCTTGCCGAGTGGTCTCCAGGGAGAAATTTGATCGAGGATCCGTCGTGGTATTTATTTAACATATAGGGTTTCGAAGTAAAGGTCTAGGCGAAGCTATTTCTTGTCGTATCACTACTGGAACGATTCCGAACGAAGCACCCCGCGCTTGAACCAAGTGGTAAGGGGAATAGCATCAAGCGGGACTTGCATACAAACGAGGCTCATTTGATTAGCTCTACCCCGCTCCACATTTATGGTTAGTGCAATCAAACACCTTATAAAGATTGTACGTCTATCAAACTCAAAGACACCCAGATCACATCGCCGCATCATAATGGCGATCTGCAGAGTAATGCATTATTGCTATCTAGATCACTAGTCTACAAGATCCGTATCTAGATCAACCTCAGCAATTTGATCAATTCGGTCTCGTTCGCAGGTAGCTAACGTGGCTCCATGGACAGTGGGCGCGACTGATTTCTATTTATTCTACCACTGGGCTGTCCTTAAGAATCCTCTCTTGAGGATTGTGGACCTGCATCCCCTGTATCAAGACGCACTCCTCTACATTTCCCCCATTGTTAAGTTATAGTTCTTTCGCAATGCCTGTTCCGTTCGTATACCACTCTGAAGTTGACGTTCTCATTATTCCTGCTGACCCTGGCAAATGCGAGAGTTAATGTCCGCATCGTCGACCAAAGGTCAGTGTCTTGACCCCTTCCATTCCTGCTTTTAACTCGACTTTGCGCTAGAGCCTTCAAAATAACTAGTTCGTGATGGACTTTCACCTCGCACTATTGAACTTTTGCAGGTTCCTTGCTGACCGACCGAAACTCGGTATTGACAAGCTGGATATATAATCATCCTTCCAAAGGTGTCTCGCCAAGTTGATCTAGCGGTACGCCTTTCGAGACAGGCTTGCAGGATATATGACTGATGGCATCTTAGTTCCACCATTCATCAGGGAAACGTAATTCATTACAGAGTGCTACGAAGCGCTCCGTAGCACTCTGTAGCACGATCTAACCCGCTGATGTTAGCTTACCGACAGAACTTCAAACGCGACAGCTCTGTCTGCAAGGTACTCATTCGAGGTGCGTTCATAAATTGCACAGAAATTATATCAGCTGAATGAAATTATATTTCATCGTATCCAATCGAGCAGTTAGTACCTCCCTGCGCTCGAATCAGAACCACCAGGACTTGCTTGACCACGAGGAAAGCAATGGTGCCTACTAGTAACTACGTGGGTGAAGTGGGCGGTGGACTCGGTTTGTATGTGATCTGCTTATATATGGCACATGATATTGTTTCTTATCCACAGCACTCGCGGTCCAGCAGAAGCATTGCCCGTATGTAGCAATTCCAGACAAGCGTCTGGACTTGCATACTTGCCGTTGCATCAAACAGGTGGATTTAAAACAATCTAGTAGGTGCGCGGTGCGAGATATCGTGTTTGACAAGAGCTAGGATGCTCCGGCCCTTCAGGTTCGCCGTCTTTACATATAAGGCTGAGTTCCTGCCACAGACAGCTAGTAAGGTGCATTCTACGGTGGTCTCGGTTATTCCGGACCCGCAGTTATCGACTAGCTGGCTTTGGTATCGTTCTTCTCTCTGATCCATTCCATCTCAGAGCCCTGCGAAAAGCAAGAATAACTCTGTATCAGACATCATGGGCCATCAGATGATCAAACTATTGCTCATAAGTATATGTATGGTACACAATGTGTAAAGATTAGCATATATGGCTGACTGGTGCATGTTTCAAGTTCTGACTCGGATCACACGACCATCGATAACGACGTGAATTCACAGTCGAATTAGTGACCTTGAAGCCACCTGTTACCATCTCTGCCACTTGTTCCAGGACTAAATTAGACAAGTTCAACATCAGTGGCGGCACAGCTCACTTGCCTCCCAACTGCAAAAATTACTCAGGCCAATTGAATTCTTCGCTGGCATGTTCCGTTGATTGACCTAGGACAGCGTTTAAAATTAGAGCGACATACGAAAAGTCTTCCTGATACAGTTCATTTACACCTAGAAGCATCTCATCATAAGATGCGCTCGGGTCGGACACATGAAGGAAAAACACGCGGATCTCATGCGGAGCAAGGGCTGTCAAAGAAGGTTGCAGCGTCTCTGAGGAGAATGACTGCTCGGCATCTAAACGGTAGCCCTGTGAAACACCAGTGTGAGTATCCATCCCGAAACTACTATAGTCACAAAGGTGACTAACCGACTTGGTGTCTACTGTGACACCCTTGATGTGAACTTGAAACCTTCAGTTAGAATCCCTACCGGCTGTGAATACTAGCTTTGATCGATTCGGTCTTGTAGCTAACATGGCTCCAGGGACACTACTGTGGGCATGACTGATATCTATTTATTCTACCACTCTAGCATCTTTAAGAACGCTCTCTTGAGGATTGTAGACCTGCATCCCCTGTATCAAGACACATTCCTCCACTTCCATTACTAAGTTATAGTTCTTTCTCAATGCAGGCTGTTCCGTTCGTACGTCACTCTGAAGTCGACGTTCTCATTATTGGCGCTGGCCCTGCTGGCCTCATGTGCGCGAATGCCCTCGCAAATGCGAATGTGAATGTCCGCATCATCGACCAAAGGTCAGTGGGTCGACCATCCCATTCCTGCTTTTAACTCAACGTTCCGTTAGGGCCTCCAGAATAGCCGCTGGGAATGGTGATGGAATTTCACCTCGCACTATTGAACTTTTGCAGGTGAAGATGCTTCCTTGCTGACTGAATAAGACTCGGTATTAACAAGCCGGACATAGAGTTATGGACTTGCAGAGCGCCTTCTGAAGGAGTGTTGCCAAATACATCTAGCGGTACGCCTTTTAAGACGGGCTTGCAGGATATGTTGTGGCTCATTACATCTCAGGCATTCTACAACCCTTCTTCGACCGGCGGCATAGAGGTTCGTGTTCCGCTATCGACGAAGGATGTTCACTGAATTTCCGCCATTAGCTTACCAAAAGAACATCAAACATAACAGCTCCGTCTGCAAGATACCCATTCGAGGTGCGTTCATGAATCTGACAGGAATTATATCAGCTGAATGAGATCAAGGCTACGCTCAATCAAGCAGCCATTCAAGACATTTTCCTAGATTCCATGTCATCGCTTGGTGTTAAGGTCGAACGATCAACCATGCCAACTTCGATAGAGCTTTCTAAGGATGAAGACGAATTGGCGAATCCTACATCATATCCAGTCCGCGTTGTGCTCCAAAGACTTGACGAATCCGAGGGTGCACAACCAGAAGAGATTGTTCACGCTAAATTTGTTCTTGGTGGTGATGGTACGCTCTGAAAACATTCCTCTTTCCAAAATTAATCATTTACCTTGGTAGGCGCTCACTCATGGACCCGAAAACAATTCGATATCACGATGGATGGAGAACAGTCTGGTGAGAATGTTTGTCACTTCGAATTCTCAACAAGCTCACTCTCGATCGATAGATTCCATCTGGGGTGTCATGGACCTTGTTCCTGACACTGACTTCCCGGATATCAGGAATAAGTGCCTTGCACAATCCAACCATGGCTCACTTTTTGTCATTCCTCGAGAAAAGGATATCATTCGCTTATATGTGCAACTGGAAGAGAAAGATGTCATCGATCCAGTGACAGGCAGGGTGGACAAGGATAGAATGGGTCCAGATCAGATTTTTAAGGTAAGCGGTATCCATTATCATACTATAGTCAGCATTCATCAATATCCCCTTAGACCGCCCAGAAATCGCTCGAACCTTACAAGCTTACCCCGGAGGGTGAATTTTTGTGGTGGACGATATATAGCGGTACGTCGCGCCTTACTACTTGCTATGAATTCGTGTTCATTTGACATCTCAAGTTGGACAACGAGTGGCCTCGAAGTTTTCCATCAACAATCGAGTATTTATTGCTGGCGATGCTTGCCACACACACACGCCAAAAGCAGGTAAGCGTCTTAAATCTGGCCCTTTCCCCCGGTCTGGTTACAATGGAACTTCCAGGACAAGGAATGAACGCGAGTATAAACGATAGTCATAATCTAGGTATGTCTTCCGTTCCTGCTCTCACGATCGAGCTGAATAGCTTTCTCAGCTTGGAAAATTGCTCAAGTTGTCCGTGGGTGGGCAGATATGTCCCTTTTGTCAACGGCAAGCTCGCTCTTGTACAGCTATTTGACTCCTTGCTCACATCCCACCTATAGTACGAATCAGAGCGCCGTAAATTCGCATTAGAACTGATCGCGTTTGATAAAACGTGGTCCACCCTTGTCTGTGGCAAGCCCTTGACCGGGCAGAACAGCGATGGGGTTTTACCCGAGCAGCTCTTGAAGTAACATCCCTTTACCGACAGTCTTTTCCTGTTATTAATCCCGTGAGTTTGTAGGACTTTCCAAACAGATTTCACCAGTGGAATTGGGATACATTATCACCCTTCAGCTTCAGTTGTAGTAAACGACAGATACCAGGAGCTGGCCGGCGGTCTCGTCCTCGGCAAACGCGTCCCTCCATACAAATTCATGCGGGCAGCAGACGGACGGCCATTCGAGCTCCAGGACCTGCTTCCTTCAGACTCCCTCTTCAAGTTACTTGTGTTCACCGGTGAATTCAGCGATCCGCTTCAGCAAGCAAGGGTCGAGTCGATGGTCGCGGACATGCAGAAACCCTGGAGCTTCCTGAACCGTTACGCGACGCCTGGGAGCTCGCGATTTGACATCATCACGATCAGCAAGGGCCGGAAGGATGAGTTCAATCTCTTGCGGCTCCCTGCGCTTCTTCGCCCTCATTGGTCAAAGTGAGTGCTTCCTCATCTGTGTCAAGTGGGATGATATTGATCGAGGTGCTCTTAGGGTGTTTGTCGATGATACCGATCCCACTGCTAACTTTGGGGGAGAAGGTTACTCGTATTTTGGAGTGGGATCTGAGGGAGCGCTTGTTGCTGTTCGCCCTGATGGCTATGTTGGAGCTATCGCGCCACTGGATCGCGCTGAGGTCCTTGATGCGTATTTCGCGTCTTTCATGAAGATTCCTGCTTAGGCTTAACACCAATCTTCTTCAAATGCTGATTCACCGTTTCAACACAACGTTTCTGGGATATAATCCCTCCAGCAATTTGTATACCCTCAATACTTATTTTCGCACGGATGATCGCACGGACAAGATTCTCTAGGCTCAACGACAGATCTTCTTCTAACACTGCTTCGCTGTTTCAACATAGCATTAGTTCCTGGGATACAATTCTTCCAGCAATTTCCATACTCACAAACCAGACTTATTCACGTGTACACTTTATAGTATAATGCAATGCACTATTCTTCATTCTTTTCTGGAGATGAGCTGTCGACACACGGCAATGTCAATTCACACCTTTGAAATGGAGGATCGCGTCTTAGAACCGAGTTTGCTCGAACAGTCGACGAGGAGCAGGTAAGAACTACCAACGCCGACTGCTTCTGCCGATCTAATAATACAATCCGAGAGGCAGAGGCAGAGTCGTCTCGTACATACACTAGCATGCGTGTAAAAGTGGTCAGGGTCAATTTGTATGTGATAATTAATAGGAGGGAGCTGACCGTGGAGGTTACATAGCTTTGGTAGAGTTTTGCCAGTTCTGCCCCCTACACTATCGAAAGACAGCGATTCTTCACGCAAGTATATCGTGTCTATATGATCGGCATTGGACTCAGTGCGTCCATGCTATAAGTCAGTACTTAGTAAGCGTAAAATAGTGCTTAGTAGGACGTAATAAAAGTAAGTCGTCTTCCTATGGTGCACGTCACTTAGTCACCGCTACTTTTGTGCAACATCTTGATTCTTTAGCACCTCGAGATTTCACCCGAATTCTTATCCCTCTTGCCAAAATGCTTGTATTTGCCCAAGGAACAAAACCTCCAGACGGATTTCGATAATACTTAAATTTGAGGGAGTTTTTTTTTTCATGGAGGTCAATTTGGCGCATCCCTACGAAATATAGCTATACATGATCAAAAACTCTCGCTACTGTTTCGGGAACTCGTCTGTGTGATTTATAGCGTGCAGAACTGAATTGTTTGACCCGCAACTGAGCATCTCGGGTGGTAAGACCTGACCTGTATGTCTCCATCCAACGAAACATCCGATGCTGCCATAATTAGGGAACTGCATGGGTATGGGTAACCCGCAGCGGGTCACGGGTACGGGTACTGCCGGGTACGGGTACGGGTCAGGATTTTGTGACCCGCACAAATACCCGTACCCGTGATGTACCCGTCACAGTCGCAGTGTAGCCATTCTATGCTTGGGTACATTCACAGCGCGCGCACGCGGCGCATGTAGAGTCGACTCTAGATGGGGAGTTAGTGGTATTAGGGCTGCAAAGGTGCATGTTTTTATGCTACTTCATCACGCTAACTGATCATTTTTAGTAACTTATGATTACTCTTGTGCATACCACCACTCGTGCCCTCTCATTCTTCCCATCTCGTTGCTCATTGCTCTCAGTCATTCGCTGCTTGTTCCAGGTGCGCATGTTGTTTTTTTCTCGTTTACTACTATCTTTAACTTTACAGTGTGCTACTACCACCACTCGCGCCCTACTACCACCACTCATGCCCTACTACTACCACTCGCGCCGTACACTGCATCCTACCCTCCATCTTGTTCTTCCTGTCTCGTCCCTCCTTCCACTCTTCTGGCACTCTCCAGTGTCCTCCGCATATGTCTGAGCCACGTCAGCATTCGCTGACGTGCGCCAGGCGTGTGCGCTAAGCACTGGTGGCTGCTGGGATCAGGTGGGGGAGGGTACACCCGCCATGGGTACACACCCGCACCTGCACCCGTACCCGTGTCTACGGGTACATACCCGTGGCGGGTACGGGTACGGGTTGGCCTCGAGACACCCGTGGGTTTACCCGTGCGGATCCCTAGCCATAATCGGATCGTGTTGATGGATACAGATGCGAGTGCGAGCGGCATGTTCTTCTTCAGCGTGTCGAATGTGTAATCACAATTGTCGCGAAGATACTTCTTAACCTGGCCCCAGAAAAATTCGATTGGGTTCAGCTCGCAGTGGAATTTGGGGAGGAAGATGCAAATGTGCCCCGACTGATCGATGGTTTCCTGGACAAGGGACTTCTGCTGCTGAAAGTCAGGCTGTCGCTCGAGTACACGTTTGTTGCAACAAACAACATCTGCATCAGGGTTGCATTTGTCGCACCTCCCACGACAGCCGGACTTGTACAGGCCTAGTGCTGCCGAAGTCCGGTTCGGTCCAGTTCATGGCCCTATATTTGCGAACCCCGAACCTGACCATTGGTCAGGTTCGAGCAAGGAGGCTGAACCATGGACCGGACCCCTGTGAACGCGTTCGGAAGGGTTCGGTTCAAGTTCAGAACGCGTTCGAACCCTCGAACCCTTTATTTCAATTTGCAAAAAAATCAAAATTTTACAAGACAACAACGACAAATTTGTACGCTACGTACAGCTACTCCTCGTTCACAATGACTGTGAGGCTTTTCGATCGGGGAGTCTATGTAATGCGCTGTAATGGATAGGAAAGGGTGACCAGGAAAAGATGTCCACGAGTCGAACGTCATGGAAATTTTGCTGTCGACATGCTTGAGCTTCTCTTTCACGCGCTCGACTGCCAGCTTCGCACGTTCGAGGATCTCATCATGCGTTTTTGTACGGTGGGGAATATCTGTTTCTGAAAGCGAGGGTCGGAGATATTGAAGAAGTCGACGGAAGGGACCTTTATCTACGAGTTGAAATGCCTAGTACAAATGTAGTGTAAGTATCTTTAAAAAATCTCAGAAATGAAAGCTACTTACCTCGTCCTCAGCGACAATGAGTTCGACGATGTAATCCATGAGTCCGGACTTCGTGAACGTGGGAATCTTTGGAGTCAGAGAGCCGTCCAAGGTTGCCTGACTGTCGGTTGCCTTGCAATCACGAGGTATGGCACGATTGTGCATCTTGATACCCCGTTCTTTGCAGCGGTCGTGATAGACTGGGTAGTGGCACTTGGGATGGCGAGCAATGTGAGTGCGTCTAGTCGAGATACCACCTTTAAAAAAGCACTGGTGTAGTGGGACATTATTGGCCTTGCATACCTCACACCACCACCCATTTTCACGCTCCTGGGTGTGGGGGTTGATGTGACCTTTCTCAAAGGTAAAGACTGTAGTCAAGTCAGCGCTGCGTTCATCTTTCTTGAGGGATTTGCGGTCTTCGCGATCCTGGTCGCCGAGCTTCTTCGTCCGTTGATAAGCTTCTTCATTCTCGGCATTCTCGGCATTCTCGGCATCCTCTTCCTCATCATCTGTAACGTCTTCAAGTGCGGGTGCATCTTCGTCGTCATCCTCGTCATCCTCTCTGCTACTGGTACCAACGAACACTCGTTTGGGTGCAGGGACACCCTGAGGAGGTTCTACAGCTGACCGTTTGGCTGAGGTACTGCTGGCAGTCAGAGTCTCGCGGATCTTCTCTGTGGGTTTGACCGCTCGACCAGAACGACGTACAAACGAATTGAGAGTGCCGTTGTGTGCAGGAGCAGGGGGAGGAACCATTGGAGAGTCGTCTTCGGCATCATTGTACCACGCTATCTCACTGGCGTCTTTCAACGAACCGTCAGCGCGACGTGCAGAGGACATAGCAGCAGGGGGCATAAATTTCAAACCTAGGTACCAAGTGAATTTATTTAAAACTAGATTTAAAACTGTTGCGCACCATGAAACACCAAAATGAGAACCCATGGCAGATAATCAGTATGGTGAATCACAACTGTAGGTATGTTCTGAAATAAATCACATCATAAGTTAATTGTGACAGACAGTAGACTTGTTGCGAACTCACTGGCGCATGAATGAGTTGCATTACTGAAGTAGCCGAGAGATTGCCTTGCAGGAGAAGTAGGAGAAGACGGTGAACAGAAGGGCAAGGATGATACTTAAATAGAAAGCCTCACCAAAAACATGAGGCTTCGACTTCGAAAATCGTAAGTCAAAGCCAGCGACATGATAGGTTCGAACCGGTCCGGATGCGTCCAGAACCGGTCCGGATTCATCGACAACACACCGAACCTCGAACCTACCAAGGGGTTCGGTCCAAGAGAAATTCTGGACCTGTGACCGAACCATGGGTCCGGTCCACAAAGGTTCGGGTTCGAACCTAGGTCCTGGACCGGACTGCGGCAGCACTATACAGGCCACGCTCGATAAGCACAGCCTTGATCCCTTTCGGCTGATTCGGAAACTCGTAGCTGTAACTTGACCATAGCTATGCTAACATCAGTGAATTGATGAGACCTTGATATTGTAGCCGTGCGAACTGTAGAAGAATATAATTCTGCTCTACTAAATATGATCATCTATACTGTTAAAAATTTGAGTTGTACATACATAGCCATCAGTGCCTGCAAATTTAGAGTAACATGAGTAGTGCACAACAATATGATGACATTCCTGCATTGCAGTCGACGAGGTGTGGTAGTATACTGGTGGCAATCATTTTGAATATTGTCATTTTGTCTTACTTTTGCTTTGCCTTATAATCTCATCCAAGACATTCTCGTGGGAGGTGCCTTTATCACTCGTCAACAAATGTAGAATAGCGTGTGATTTTGTAACAAAGTTGTGACCTGCGGCAACGAAGATCAACACAGGACGGTAGTGCACCTCCCTCATACCTCTCGGATGCTCTCGGTTTTCGTCATGTATGGTTAGAATTAGGAGACAATCCAAGACCTTGCTGTGGGAGGTGCCTTTGGCACTTGTCAACAGATATAGAATGTTGTTACATTTCGTAACAAAAATATAACATGCTGTCACCGCAGCAGGCAGGGCTCAGCAGCGCACTTTTCTCAATCTCGTCGATCATTCTAGTTTTGCGTGATTTATGTTTTGATTTAAGATGCTGTTCAAGACCTTTCCATATGACGTGCCCTTTGGAACCAGTTAGAAAATCTAGAATAGCATCAGACTTCGCAACAAAATTGTGACATGCTGCCACCAGCGCCACTTTTGCGATGGTTAGTGATGTTCCGGCCCGGCTTGGGCTCAAAGCCCCGGCTTAGGCTCGGCCTGGGGGGGGCTTAGGCTCACCAGATTTGAAGCCTGAGCCGCGAGCCCAAGCCGGCCCAAAGCCGGGGCTTAGGCCCATGCAAGCCGCGGCCCAAACCAATGTCTGAGCTCCACCATGCTGTTCCCAACACCACGAACACCATGCGCAAACGCCCAGCACACGTCAGCAACTGCTGACGTGGCTCACGAATACAGATGATGGACAAGAGCAGGTGAAGGGAAGAAGACAAGGAGGAGAACGTTCGGACAGGGATGGAAGGGTGTGTGGAGGAGTGGCGTAAGAAGTGATATAGGCCAGAAGACAGCTGTTGAACTCGGAAGGTTGTCCGACCCAGTCGAGGATGGTGATGTCTGTAGGTGGACATGGACACTGAAGATACCAAATAATGAATACGCGACGACTTCTTGCAATGTGGTGACGCGAGATGACACCCATTGAAGTCTCCGTCGAGCGAGTTGAAGTTGAGAGGAATCGCTGTCGACGTCCAAACCCTCCGAGTCAAACGTTGCCAATGAGACCGAAGGCGAGGAACGACATGGTGAATAGATCGTCCGAGCGCAAGGGAAAAGAGGCGCAGGGACGAGAGATGTGACGTCGGGGCCGAAATCTTCCAAGTATCAATGTTTCGTTTCAATATAGATTAGAAAAGGACTTACCGTATAAAAGGCAGCATCCAGCCACCCGAGCGTCTCAGTTCTGACCAAGATACTGAGACATGAGTTAGCTTTTACTTTACACTTCGAGTAGCCATACTGATGCGACGTAGGAGACTTACCTGTTAGGTACATACATCGTCAATAAAGAGTTCTGACCAAGATACTGAGACGAGACTTACCTGTTAGATCCTGCTGTGCCTTTACAAGTTCTAGAATCGCGTCATAGTAAGAGTCAGTAATGAGAACATGCCAAACACATACTTGTGGGGCGTGACCACTGACGTGACAAGGTGTCATATACTCTATGTACCAAAGCTGCGGCTTGGGCCGCCGGCTTAGGCTTTTCTAAATTCAAGCCCAGGCCTAAGCCCTGCTCAGGCCGTGACTTAGGCCTGGGCTAGGCCCGGCCTATTTGGGCCTGGCTTGGGCCGGCCCAGGGCTTCAAGCCGGGCCTTGCACATCACTAGCGATGGTTCTCCAGCTTTTTCAGGGCCTCTCCAAGCGAACTGTTAAGACACAGAAAAATTTAAAAATCGAGTATATTTGCTAGTTCCCACCAGGAAATTCAGATACAAAGAAACAAGAGAACCAAGAGTAAAGCAGGGGGCGCGCCAGTCAAATTGTCGTATACGACATTGTCGAGTCCGTAGGCTAAATAATTTGTAAGGGGCGTTAGATACATTTATGCTACGCCATATCCTCGTTGTATGTCGAAGTTATTCCTGTACCATATGACACCAGGAAGTCGACTCCGTGCAATTCGAATGCATTTGGAAGCAGCTGGCATCAAGACTTAGTAACGCCAAGGCAGAGAATCAACAGTAAATCAAGTTACCTGGAAGTGTATAGGCATTTCTAAAGCGGCCTTGAACGTTTCACCATAGCAGATGCTTAAGAAGGAGACGACTAGTGCGGAGAAGGCGATAATATACAAACAACATGCGGTGCAGACGAATGGTTTCAATTTCAGCAACGGAAGGAGCCGCAGCTATGAAAGCAAGTGGTCCCTTGGATAGACATGGTATTTGCAAGAAAGCATATAAGCATCTACAGCCAGACGTGAGACGAATAACACAAGTGCGATAAGAAAGCGCACGGATATAGCTCCTCATGAAGCTCAATGAGGAGACGAAACACAATGAACCCATCTTCGATATCGTCATCGTCGTGAAGCCATCTGGCGCATAAATCGATCAAAAGAGGTCTGAACAGATCGGCGATTGTCAGAGTGAGAGCTGGAACAGCTAGCAGTCGAGATAATGTGGATAGAGCGTGTGTTGGTATATTTGCTTTAGTTATATGTTGGATATGGAAATGGTCGATATCAACTCCAATTTTTCGTCACAACGACCAAAGTTTGCTCCAGAGCTGAGGGTGAGTTCTCCTTGGAGATCTACGCACGGGTTAGCATTGTCTAGAAGGTTGTAGTTATCACATACCGAATAAACAAGAGTCTAGATGCAACACCAGAGCACACAACTTTGAAAGAGACTCCGAGTCGAGAAGGACGAGAGTCCACATGCACTGACAGCGCCAGAGTGCAAAAGACTCAACTCGGAGAAGAGCAGGAGTGAACGAGCCTGAGCCTGAGAGTCTTCATGAAGCGCCGGAGTACAGACGAATCAGAACAGGCGTTCGAACCTTCAGGGCGTAGTGCGAGTGAGGTATTTCAATTTTGCAATAGTCAGTAGAATAACAAAATGACGAAGTTGCGATATTGAAGAGGTGTCATCGATCTCATTTTCGTCCTCGGAATGCTTTGAAGATCTGACATAGCGGGTCCTTCAATGCTGTTCAAGTCGTCGAACAACTATATTTTGATGCTTATGCAATGATAAACGATAAATGATCTTTAATTGGCTGAATCATGTAGCGGGTACAGTATTACATCATTAGTCACGTGATACAAGTTGAACAAGTATGCACGGACTTTCCTGCCTCGTTCGTTGTCCTCTACTAGTACACCCATTCTAACCGTA